CCGTCCAGTGCCGCCAAATCCCCCATATGAGCGCCCCGCCGTCCCCAAATCCATGAAAGCGACGAAGGCAATCCAACCACGAAAGGCATATAACACCTTATTTTGAACAGCCATTATTATTTATTTACAAAATTATTTAGCCCAAAGATATTGGTGAGCACACTTTTGAGTCAGTTACTCCTGCGTACTCTGAGCAACCTGTTCTCAAATAGGCTAATAAAATGTATATAAAGATTTATGGTCGCTTCCGCTGTTGAATATCTTTAAAAAATTAATTAAATAATTGAGTTAACATTGTTTTAAGCCATCCTGCCATTTTTAGGCTGTATATCGGCACTGCGGCATTTTACCTGCAATATAGTTTTCGATATACATTTTATAAATAGATTTAAAAAAAAAAAAATGGTACAAGAGTTTCGCGCAGAATCCTTTACCGTCACGTTCAAAAAAATGACAACAAATTTCATTGATGTCACTTGCTGCTGTTGCCATCTCTAGAACTTCTTTTCAGTCTAAAAAAAAGGCATCAAACCTTACTGTACATATATGTTTTTTAAGACTTGATATGATATGATGAATAAAGCCTAAAAACACATTTTTAATAAAATCAATATAAATTGATAAGCCTTCCACATTTAAGATTTTCCTCCTAATAGACAACAGAAATAAATGTATTACTTTTACTTTTTTTAAATCATCGCTACGAATTTTGAGATCTTTTTATGATACAGGGGGAAATAACCAGACGGTTCATCTCATGGAAAGTGACTACCGATACCGACGGGAATGAACGCAGTTATTCGTTTTTTACTTTGAAGTAACCTGTGTTTCACACAGAGATATAAGCATAGAGTTCACAAGAGCTCCAATATTGCAATAAAGGCAACGAGAGAGATCGATGCTAGATAGTTCCCTCTATCTCTTTCTAGTCGAGCTCTGTGGTTGGCTTGAGAATATTGAGCTGTTTTTGAAGTAAAACTTCTTTATAATCGCTGTGATTTGAAACTCGATGAAACGAAAGAAACAAAAACACAAATTAAATGTTTAGGATTAAGTCGGCCAGAGAATGAGATAGAATACATTACACATTATTTTTAATATACTATTTTGCCCTCGACTTCTTTCCAGTAGAAGTTGAAAAATGCTGCCTTAGTAGGTTTGATTCCCGGACTGGGTAAAATTGCATAGAGTTTTTCTGAGAGGAAAAAGAGCCTAAGTTACTCCTTACCTACAAAATCATACCCACTTCACGAAAGTCAATCGCAGCTTAGCTAAACAGAGATAGAAGGAACTATCGGGATATCTTTCTCGTTGCCTCACTCAACAGGCAGCTGCAGCCCGTGTTCACTCCATGCTTTAAATCTCTATGGTTTCACCTTCCAGTGGTCAGGAATAATCCGGAGCTGACAACACCGTCGAGTGCCGCTAGAGTTTATGGTCTGCCAATGAACTGTCTGACAGGCAAATAGATGCTTACGCTATGTATGCTTATATCTATACTACAAGTCTATATCAGAATCTATACTATGGTCATTATATCTCTATGCAACAGATAAACAATTACTTTATCGCCACATATCGACTTTCCTAAGGTCGTCTAGTAATGAGTAGTTCAGAATGTAGTAATGAGTAGTACTTTTTTTATTTTACATTGCTTAGATATTTCATGACTTTGAATTATTGCATTTTTAATTGAAATATTTAATACTAAATTTTGCATATATTTGCAATTGTGTTGGTGTTACTATTGTACTGACTAATGTAACTACTTTATATTCCCAAGTACCACTAAAAAGAATAAATTATGATCATTATCGCTATTATGGACTTCAAACATAGATTATAGACGATCATTAGTGAGAGTTCTTTCGTACAATCTGTGAGATTGATTAATGTGAATCGGGACGGTAGTGTGTAACAGGAAACAAAGGAAGCGCGCTATTTCGTTTGACCAATGAACTGTAAAGTTTTATCATTTGTTATGTTTAAAAAGTTAAGTAGGTCTGGCAAATAGCAACTCAGTTTTTCTACAATAAAAAGATCTAAAACTTGACGCAATGCACATGGTAATGATTGTGTTTCAAAGCTTGTTATGGTTTTGCATTTTTTGTGTTTTATAGGCTCAATGGACTTTTAATTACTACCCCCTCCCCCCTCTAATTAAAAGCAAATAATGTGCAACTTGAACATATATTAGTGAGCAGAAAGTTTATCATTAGGCTAAAGTGTCAAAGTTTTTGTAGAATTAATAAAATACATTCACATATTTACATTTAAATCTTTTATTTTCTAATAGTTCACTGGCTCTTCCCCGTGTTGTCATCTGCGTTTATAGTCATTATTCGGCTTATTAGAAATGCAAGTTTAAATTAGTTTACTTATTTGTTCCTTTTAGAATATTTGTCCTTTTATACAAAGTTCGTTCTGGATACACAGATGAAATCAAAAGCAAAGTTATCACTGTTTTTGGAGAATGAATAGAAATTAAAAATCATATACTTTAGGTGGAAAAAAAAACAAAATTGTCTGACTGAAAATAAAATGGGCCTGACATAGTCATACTGGAAATTGCCATATTCAATAATGTCACGTTATCCGCTCGAAACTGGTCACAAAATACCTAAAAATATCGTCGCCATATTGGTATTGTCAAAAACTTAGGGTATATCGGTGCCGATGAAAAAATGGTTTCAAGTCTTTTAATTAACGAGTTTATCGCTTTTGAGTGATCTAAAAAGACCAGCGGTGACTTTAGATGTTACGTTTGTCATATGAGTTGTGTTATTCGGTTGTTAAATGATGTTTTCTATGGAGAAATGTTTAGGCCGTAGTGGGAATGATACGGCGGAGGGTACTGATCTCTTTACCACCGGTGGCGAAGGGATGGGTAAAGAGGGAGTGGCTTCAGATGAGGTGGCTTCTGCAGTAGCCGCCGTCTCTGACGAGATCGGTGACATTCTGAAAGATGAGCTTGGGGACGCGGATCGCGCGGACCAAATCGGCGCGGAACTTGCTGATTTGAGCGCCGAGCTCGGTCTGCTCGCCGGCCTAGCTGATGGCGAGCCCCAGCAAGACTTTCCGTCACTCTTCGAAATAGCCGTAAGTGCCAATATGGCTGACATCACTGTCTCTTTTGTACCTATGTTATTATATTGACTCGACTCTATGTGTTCTGGCAATGATGGCTCTTAGTGTCATTGAACTAGACATTCTGACACACAATGTTATTGGTGTATTTTATGTACATGTTGGGTGTCTAAATACATAAAATAGGAAGCTACTGATTGTCTGTTTGTTGGTAATTTTATAATGAAATAAATACCTGTAGTAAGTTTCTGCAATTTTTCAGTGAATAATTTTGATATTTTGTTTTGTAGCATTTCTTTTTTTTCCATCATCTGTTTCACATTTTCTAGTTGTAGTCTTAATCTCACTAATATGTGATATCCAAAAGAGTGCGGGAGTGTGTTTCAGGTATTAATATGTTTTGTTATTCCTTTACACAAAACTAATATGAGATAGTGGAAAATTTGTTTGTGTCTTTGTATTAATCAGTATATTTCATCAACAGCCTTTAATAGTCCACTGCTGGACATAGGCCTTTCCTTAGGAAGGAGGGTTCTAGCCTACTATACCATCTGGCCAGACGGGTTGGTAAAGGGTTTTGTAAATCAGTATGTTTAATATTTTCTTACTAGCTGGTACCCGTGACTGTTCATGTGGAATTTGAAAAGCACTGCCTTAGTAGTGTAGTGCTGTATGTAATTGCAGTCTATGAGACCTCAGGTTCGATTCCCGGACTGGGCAAAATTTAATAAGGTTTTCCTGAGAGGAAAAATAGCCTAAGTTACTCTTTATAAGATAGCTACATGGTAGTATAATGTTATCAAAATCGATCCAGCCATTTCGAAGATTCCCCAGAACAAACAGACAGATATTTAAACAGGTTTTTAGGCGTGCAAATAATCATGTAAGCATGAAAAAAACCTATTATTTTGACATTACAAATAAATACTTCAGTTTTATTTATTTGTATAGATATCAAAAAGATTGTGCAGTTTTATGTATAATTTGAAAAAGATAGCATAAGTAAGAAATATAGGGGTCTTGATATTAAATATTATTATATTATATAATATGTTTACTATAAGAGAATTTTTATAGGAAAATAACAAAAATAATAATTTCACTTATCTCACATATGGTGGTCCGATCCCAAACTAGGCAGAGCCACCATACAGCCACAGTAACCAAACTACTGATATACATACTTGTATATTTCTAAATATATATGTATTAAAGATAAATTACACCCAGAAACAGAACAAAAAATCAAATATCAAATGCTAGTCATATAATGATTTGTCCTTCATGGGAATCAAACTCGTGACCTACAAGCATTCAGGGTCACTCACCATCAATCCCATTGAATAGAGTATGTTATTAAATAGGTTTTCTCTAAGTATATATATATATATATATATTTTTTTTTTTTTTTTCATTAAAAGACAACTCTTCAAGGTATATAGATGGAATAAATATACCATTAATTATATAACCTTTAATCATTCAAGAAAAGAGCATACTCTTTCCCCAAAGGCCGCAACATGCTCCTCCTGTGACTCCTGAGCTTTAGTAGACTTTCATGTGCAGCGGTAGTCACTTTCCATCAGGTGACCCATCTGCTTGTCTGCCCCCTCTAACATAAAAAAAAAGTACTGATTAAATTATCTATTTACTAAGTCCTAATAGAAATTATAAAAACAAAAATGATACATCACTATCCAAAATTATTTAAATCAAATTGGTTTACAGTTTAATTTTCTCAATCTGTATAAATATAATATGATTTTATATTTCATCATTTTCCCCTTAGTTTTACACTCATGTTACCTAAGAGTTAAAAAAACTAGTGTCTAAGATTTATCTATACTAATATTATAAAGCTGAAGAGTTTGTTTGAACGCGCTAATCTCAGGAACTACTGGTCCGATTTGAAAAATTCTTTCAGTGTTAGATAGCCCATTTATCGAGGAAGGCTATAGGCTATATATCATCACGCTAAGACCAATAGGAGCGGAGCACCAATTAAGAATATTTCAAAAACGGAGAAAATTTATTACTATTGAGAGACACAGACGAAGTTGCGCGGGTCAGCTAGTTTTAAATAAAAATGTCCAAAACTGTAACATTATATTGATTAAATAAATTATTATTATTATTTTGACTGACTTGTTGGTCTGGTAGTGATCGTGACTGCTTAGAAAGCGGTTATAAGTTAGAATTTCAACTAGTACAAATATTTAATCATGAACACAATCATTTTTGGGTAAAATATATTTATACATTTATACAAATAAATAAAACTGAAGGTTTTGTTTGTAATGTCAATCAAATAAAGGTTGTTTTCATGCTCACACAGTTATTTTCACGAAACCTATGCCTAAAAACCAGTTTGAATATTTTTGTCTGTCAGTCTGTTTGTTTCCGGTAATCTTTTAAACATCTGGACTGATTTTGATAATATTTTACTACCAGGTAGCTGTCTATATAAGAAGTAACTTGACAATTCCACACGAACGCAATCGCGAGCTCGAGCTAGTCTCAAATATGTATGTATTTTGGGATATATAAATATGTTTATCAGCACTTGGCATTATAGTATAGGCATTATGGACATGGAAACTGATGTTTTAAAGATTTATATCTAACAGAGGTATTTATATCTTTCCCCACAAACTGTGCAATTTCATCTATAATAACTTACTATGAATCATTAATCAATTGACTTATGAACAAACTTAATTAAGAAACAGCTTATATTGCTGAAATAAAATTTATAATAGGTTAAAAGCTGATGAATAAATATATTTCTACTTATTCAAACCTAATTCGCAAATTGATCATAAATAAATAAATAACTAAAAATGGTTATTTCGTTGTGTTGTATGTTGTGAAAGTGGGTGCAAGGGGTATACCAGCTAAATCCCTCTGTTACCTGCTTGTCCACTGTCTGCTAGTGGAGGTGAACGCTGACGCGGCGCAAGGAGTACTCCCTAAACCTATTCCTGGGTCACAATTCCCAAGCATGTGTAGCCTCCACATGCGATCTACCTGGCGCCCGCACGGTGAATCCTTGAAACGCCAAGAAATACGTCTTCTATCTACATAATTACAGTCTTCTCAATATGTCAAAATTTACTTATAAAACTAAAAAGACATTATTCATTTTATCCTGGACTCAAATGATGAGTCTGAACTTCATGGCTTCAGCTCCTAGTAACTTTTAAAAAGGTACTAAATAAAAAAAAAACAGTTGACAAAGCTGAATCAGGTTTCAAAGTTATTTATCTGTACCTAATGGCATCTCTATGGCGATGGATTATCTTCAAACGGAGTGTCAGCATCCCTATTCATCCAGTGGCTGTCGTAAGAGCCAACTACGCAGGACAAAGGCAATGCAAAGAGAATTAACACTAGACACCAACTAGTCTGGCCAGCGTGGTATCATAGTCCAAAACCTCTTTTCTAAGGAGAGGCCTATGTCCAGCAGTAGAGTGTTAAACACTGATGTTAGTGATGTGATTTGGAGACTTGCTTCTACTCTCAGGTCCTGATGTTTGTGAAAATAATTGTTCTCAGCTTAATATTTACTTTTCCGTTAAAAATCTATACTAATATTATAAAGCTGAAGAGTTTGTTTGTTTGTTTGTTTGTTTGAACGCGCTAATCTCAGGAACTACTGGTCCGATTTGAAAAATTCTTTCAGTGTTAGATAGCCCATTTATCGAGGAAGGCTATAGGCTATATATCATCACGCTAAGACCAATAGGAGCGGAGCACCAATGAAGAATGTTTCAAAAACGGAGAAAAATTATTACTATTGAGAGACGCAAAACAAGTTGCGTTAGTCAGCTAGTCTTTTATAAAGTAGGAATAGGACCTATCTTAGCGCTTCATGAATTCACAGTACGGTTGCCGGATCTATCGCGTGATAGATGGGAGGGGGTAACACATGCGACTTCACCAGAACTGGTAATTGGTACCCAGGTATTAACTCAGAACTACAGCATAAAAAAATTGAAGTTTAGTCAAATCCTGAACTTAAAGCTGACCCAAACCGAGTTTAAGAAATAGGTTCGGGGGAGGGAAGACTTTGATGTGATGCATAGATATGAGCAAAACATAGTGAAGCGGGTTTCATGTATTGAGTTGGCTACCAGAAGAGTTCACATTTTCTTGAACTTTATCTAGAAATCAAGGTGACCCCTACCTAACTGCCTTTGTTAAATGATAAGATTCTTTGATTAATTTTCTTTGTTTATTATCTATCTTTTATTTATCTTAATAATAAACAGGGTAATAAAAATAAATCTATACATCTATACAAATAAGTAAAATCTCGATGTATTTGGTTTCGTTTGGTTTAATACACATTTAATTACAAAAACACTTTTAATAATTAAAAGTGTTTTTGTTTAAAATTTACGTTAATATTGTGCTGCAGTAATCACATGGTTTTAAGAAATTAATTTTACCAAAATCTTTTGCCAATATTTTCACCAATTGAAATGACGAACTGAAATAAAATATTCTCCAATGTCTAACTTTAACCTGTTTTGTATCATTTATACTGCGTATCGAGATACTGCTATATAGGTTTAATATAGTTAAATTAGTCCGTGTGGTGACGGATTAAGAATACGGAATGTCACCACCCCTATCCATCCCGTAGGTTTCGCAAGAGCCGACTTAGGGAGCAAACTACGCAGGACAAAATCACTGTAAAGAGAAGGAAAACTTGAAACAAACCCTATGCTAACCCTGGCAGTGTCTGGCCAGCGTGATATAGTATGCCAAAACCTTTCTAAGGAGAGGCCTATGTCCAGCAGTGGACTGTTACAGGCTGTTGATAATAGGTATATAAATTAGGTATTTAACTTCCTATGATCCTGATCGTTTTTGTGGCAATACTTGCACGTTTTCATTCGAGAAAATCTTGTAGGTATGGTCTGGTCTGGTCTATTAAAGGAGTTGATTAGTAATTGCTACACATATGGTAGTGTGGTCTTCTACGTACAACGAAATGCATAATTCAATACTATCTCACAAAGACACTACATAACGGAGTTATTATAAATCCTACATCGCGTAATGAAAGTTCTCGCGTCGATACGTATATTATATCACCGGAAAATAAGAAGAACCGCAATAGTAAATTTATAAACCTTCGTAGGATTCTAAACGAAATATAAATTGTATTATTTTACGCCCACTTTTTCGCAATTGATAAAGTTACCGAACTCTAGTCCGGTGCTTTCTTCAGTCCCAGAGCCGCCTCCTTGGCGAACTGGACGGCTCGCCCATTACGAAGGTTCCTTCGAGAATCCTACGAAGGTTTTTTTGCGGTTCTTGTTATTTTCCGGTGACATATACACAATTCCTTAACATTGGCAGCAGCCTGCTACGTATGATCACCTCGCCTGGTTCAAAAGGACATAAAATCTGTACAAAATATATATACATATTCTAATTCTAAACCATTGTGAGGAAATAGATGTTTATTTATTTTTCATATGATATAAGAGGCAATGGGGAGACCTTTGTCCAGCAGTGGACTGTGATAAGCTGATGATGATAGGGGCCAAACAGTCCTATTGGTCCCATGAACGCCTGCAACTCACAAGCGTTTTTTATTTCCACATCATGATGAATTGAAATATCTGTATACTTTATTCCTTCATTGTTCAAATTGAACTTTTTTTCAAAATCGGTTCTTAATTAACTGTTCTGACGTAACAAATATAAAAAAAATAAACAGCTGAATTGAAAACCTCCTCCATTATGAAATCGGTTAAACATAAAAAAAAAACCCTAAGTTAGAGTCCCTTCACCTTTTAAAGGAAACTAAATCAAAAACGGTGTATCTCTTTAGAAGCTATGATGCCACAAATCGACACCCAGACAAACTTTGCGTCGGATGTGTGTTCTCTCTACAGATAGACAATCTTACTTCACGTCATCAATGAACTTACAATTTTTGTACAAAACAGATGGGTCACCGCAGTTCCGGCAGCGGTTCATCCTCTTCCTCTTGGTCAGGAGGCCGCGGTGGGCGCGCGAGACGACAGTCTAGGCCCCAGCGAGCCACCCGACGCCGCCCTATCGCCAAAGGCAAAGAGGTAACTAAGTTCCGTTGCATTCTTTACTTCATGGGTTCAGGCCGGGAGTGGCCACTAGGGGGCTTATGATTAGACGTGGACAGCTGCAACTCAACTGACTGCACGAATGGCGTAGTGGTTTAAAAAATATTTTGAAAATAACATAAAAACTGTTTTGTTTGTTTTATTCGAAAAGTTCCGTTTGAATATCTCAGCAGGTCATTATTTTGTAACTTTGAGTAGCCTGCAGTAATCTCACTCACTCAGTCAGTGAAAGCAAAACGAATAAATTGATTAAGTCCGATTTTTTTGTGAGGCCGTGCTATCATTTATGTCGGCTCATAAGTGCTATTATGGCTCAACAACAGTAACCTAATCTAATCAATTGCGAAATCAATTAAAATAATATGTTGTTAATGTCCAGATGTCGCGGCGTCGCAGTGCGGCCGCCCGTCGCGCGGTGTGTATGCGCGTGCGCCGCGTCGAGGTCGTGTCGGACGCGTCCGACGTCGGCGCCGACTCCGACAGCGACGACCAGTGGACCGAGCTGGACGATGGATGTGAGTGCTACGTATTTATTGCATCATTGTTCTTTAGAAAAAAAAAGAGGAATGCGGATTTGTTTTTGTTAAATTGTCACTAAAACCTCAAAACCTCCCAATCTCTCACCCCTCTCCTTATTCCCTCTCCCCCTCTCACTTTTCCCTGTCCCCCTCTCCCTTTTTCCGCTCCCCCTCTCGCTTTTCTCTTACTGCCACCCCTCTCTCTTCCTTCCCCTCGCTCCTACTGCCCCCTGTCTCTTACTGCCCTCCTCTTTCGTCCCTCCCCCCTCTCTCTCTCTTACTGCCCCCTCTCTCTCTCTCTTACTGCCCCATCTCTTGCTGCCCCACTCTCTCTCTTCTTCTTAACGCAGGCAACTCCAGGGTCACAAGTGCGTTGCCACTCTTTGAGTCCCTGGGTATCAGTGGGAGGGGTGGTTTGGGCTCCGGTTGCTTCACTCACTCGGTGATATTTGGTATCATTCCCGTCGAGCTTGCCCCTTTGTGGTTATGTATTAACGATATGTTTGTATGTTTATTTGACAGCTGGCTCTTCCGACAGTTCGTCAGCGAAGGAGCCCGCCGCGGTGGCCGATGTGGACTGCAATGGCTACGAGCACAAGGCTTCGGTAATAATCTACTTATGATGCTATAGAATTAAATAGTGTTTTAAAGGAACTATGACGTGCGATAGTTCTCAAAATATAAGTGTTATGTTGGTCTCCTGTCATATTTCAGACTATAATTTGTCTCTGTACCACATTTCACCCGATTCTGTTTAGCTGTTCCGGCTCTACACAAAACTTTGCATACAACCTTTTAAATTTTCTGACGGAAAATCCTCGCATACAATCAAAAACTGCAATATAATTAATCAAACAACCGAAGCGCACGGGGCTTCCCCTTCGGCTGCCAACTTTTGTTAGTAGCGTAGACTGTACGCACGAAATACAAATGTAGTTATTACTTTTGTGCGATACCAACGGGGAATGACCTTAACCTTTGACAACTAATTGCATAAGACGTTTAATTTGCCGACAGAAAATTCTAATGATTTTCGACTCAGAATGATGGTCTGAATACACTGTTTCATTATATTCGTTACGACGTCCCTTACACCCTTTATAAAATACTAGCTTATGCCTGCGGCGCCGCTCGCCTGTATGTCGGTCAAAAAAGTAGCCATTGCTACTCGCTGATACTGTAGCTTTTTATTGAACTTTTAAAATCAGTTTAGTGGTTTAGGCGTGAAATCGTAACAAAGAAAGTCACTTTCACATTTATAATATAAGTACTAGCTGACACGGCAAACGTTGTTTTGCCATATACACCATTTCAAATTGTTTTATCAAAAAAAAAAAAAAAAATTAGGGGTATGAAAAATAAATGTTGGCCGATTCTCAGACCTACCCGATAGGCACACAAAATTTCACGTAAATCGGTCGAGCCGTTTCTGAGGAGTTCAACTACGCACACCGTGACACGAGAATTTTATATATTAGATATAATTAAGGATTATTATAAATGTCAGAAATGTGATATATTAACAGGTATTTTGACACCACAACTATTGGATGCTTATCTGTCCAGATTTACATAACGGTTTTGAAGCATAAGCCTCATCATCACATCAACAGCCTTTAATAGTCCACTCCTGGACGCTTCTCCTTTGAAAGGAGGTTTTGGCCTACTGTACCACGATAGCCAGACGGGTTGACATAGGGTTTGTTTCAAGTTTTCCTTCTCTCTGCAGTGCTTTTGTTCTGCATAGTTTTCTCCCTTAGTCGGCTCTTACGACACCCACGGGATGAATAGGGCATTATGGCTAGTGTAATGAAAAACTTGTATGTCGACAGGCCGAAGCTCCAGCCATGGGCCAGTTCCTACTTCCGCTGCTGAGCGCTGATGCGCCCACGCCGGACCCCGAGCACTTCCTCATCAGACACGAGGATATCCTGCAGGTAGAGCTGCCTCTGTAATATTGTTTAAACATGCAACATGACAAATGCCATTTGAAGAATATATTCATAGCATGAGTTGATCGCAACGTTATTGTCGGAGAATTAATAATGTGAAATGTTCAATTATGATATCATTACAGCTTCTGGCGTCGGCGGAGGAGAACGTAAGGGATGACATACCTCTAGAGGAGGAAGCACCTCTCGAACAGACCGATGTGTAAGTAAATTTGTTTATTTAAAAAGAACTCCCGCTGTAAGTAGAGTGAGTGAGGTTACCGAAGTCCAAATCTCCCTCCCGCTGACTCGAGCGGGAGGGACTCCAAAGGCGGTAACGTACTTGTGACTTTTGAGTTGCGGTTTTCGGTTTTGCAGTGGTAGCGTATGCGACTGCTGTGCTGAGGTCTCGGGTTCGATTCCCGGGTCGGACCGAATGTTTGTATGATCTGCGAATTTTTTTTTGGTTTTAGTTTGGGTGTTTTCTATGTACAAAATATAAGTATTCTTTCAGTCAAAATAGTTTCCATAGTACAAGCTCTGCTTAGTTTGAGACCAGATGGCGTTGTGTCAGATGTCCGAAAAATTATTAAAGTGATAATTTCTTATGGGAGGGTAAACTGCTTCGTTACGTAACGCGTTACGGCGCCAGTCTGTCTGGCTTCCCTTTCTCTCACGCATACGGTAGGGGTAGGCAGGCTCCTCCTGTCTCACTTTACCCCACAGCCATTAAACCATTTCAATATTAAATAGTTCAACTTAGATTTGTTTAAGTTATCACTTTCGCATACGTTTTTTATTCTACTTTACTATGAGAATGCCTTTTATGACATTTGTGAGATCGAGAGTACATGGGAACTGAACTTTGAACCATTTTTTATTGCAAAACTGAGCAAGATTGACCGTCTAGTTGTTCCAGTAAAACCAGACATTAAAAAAAACCGGTCAGGTACGAGTCAAACTCGTGCACCGAGGGTTCCGTAACTACCCAGATTTTACGTAGATTTTCCCATATCTATTTATGGTGTTGATTCAGGACCTTGATTTTTATACACCTAATAGGGACCATAGACCTCAGTATCTGGTATAAATTTCAACTTGCTAGGTCTACCCGTTCCTGAAAAAATCGGTGGTGACACACGGACAGACGGACAAGAACGTGATCTTATAAGGATTCCTTTTTTACCTTTTGAGGTACGGAACCCTAAAAATATTTTTATGATTTGGTTGGTTGACAGGTTGTCGAGCAGCGAGATGATAGACTTCGAGGAGACACCGGTCACACCTGAAGAGGAAGCTGCTTTACTTCACTATGTCTGCGGTAAGTTCACAATCATGTTGAATCACACATCAACTTTAATAGTCCACTGCTGGGCATGGGCATCTCCTTAGAAAGGAGGTTTTGGCCTATTTTACCACGGTGGCCAGACGGGTGGGTATATTTTTCTTCTTCCTTTCGTCGACTCTTATGAGGGGGGAAGTGTTCTCCCCTGGGATAGGGCCTGATTAGGCATGGTGTCAATTCGGGGAGGACCTGAAATAACATGGTCCTCCCCAGAGTAGGATACCTGAGGCCACCACATACTCCTTCCGAAGGGATTTTCCACCTCGTCAACAAAAACAAAAAAAAAAGTCGGCTCTTACGACACCCGTAATAAGAATACGGTGAGACCGTATTCTTAATCCGTCACCACATGGCTAATTGTAAACAGTTGCACAATGAACTTGCTTGTTCCTCAAACACTTGGCGGTGATTTTCGCTTACCATCAGGTGCCCGCCTGCTCATTTACCCCTATATGATAAAAGAAAATTTAGGAGATTTGACCTTTTATACCTTGGTATCAAAGCTTTAATCTCCTACATTTTTTTTACGCTTACACAATAATTTGTAAATGACTTACTAAAATGATGTTTTGTAAGTTTATTTTAGCAGACTCAAAAAAGGAGGAGGTTTTTTTATGTTTGTTACCTAGAACTTCTTTTATGAACGGGGCTGTTATGATAATGTTCCCATTTAAATTTAAATTAAAAACCACTAAAGGCTATAAATATAAGGAATGAAGAAGTTTAAGGCCATTGATAATGAAAATAATAATAACCTTACACATCTCACACACACAGACGGCCGTCTGATCTCAAACTAGTCAGAACCAGTAATGTGGTAACCAGACTGCTGATAAACATACCTTTGTGTGAACCAGTTCATTATTAATTTAGACCATTTCTCTTTTCCTCTGATTGTGTGTCCTGTCCATTATTATTATTATTAACACATCACACACACACAGACGGCCGTCTGATCTCAAACTAGGCAGAACCTGTAATGTGGTAACCAGACTGCTGATAAACATACCTTTATATATGTTAAATGCATACATTTGTATAAATGCATACAATACAGACAGGCCTGTTGGTCTAGTGGTTAGTGACCCTGACTGCTAAGCCGCAGGTCGTGGGTGAGATTCCCACCCAGGACAAAAAATTGTGTGATGAGCACGATCATTTGTTCTGTGTCTGTCTGTAATCTATCTATACTATGTGTATGATTATTCATATATAAGTATATTTATCAGCAGTCTGATTACCATAGTACAGGCTCTGCCTAGTTTGAGACCAGATGGCGTTGTGTCCGATGTCCGAAAAATTATTAAAGTGATAACTTCTTATGGGAGGGTAAACTGCTTCGTTACGTAACGCGTTACGGCGCCAGTCTGTCTGGCTTCCCTTTCTCTCACGCATAGGGCAGGGGTAGGCAGGCTCCTCCTGTCTCACTCTACCCCACAGCCATTAAACCATTTCAATATTAAATAGACAGACACAGAACAAATGATCTTGCTTATCACACACATAATTGTTCTGGGTGGGAATCGCACCCACTATTTCTGACTTAGCTGTCAGGATAACCACTAGACCAACTAGCCTGTCAAAATATGATGATGTTTAATTTAATGATTATCTCAACCCGTCCCTCAGAAGCTGAGCAGCAGTCGTGTTCAGGTGAGACGCCGCAGTTCACCGGCGTGCAGGAGTGGCTGCTCGGCGTGTTCCACTCCTGGTGTGAGATCAGTGCGCTCGTGTTCACTCTCGTTGGGACTAATATGTGAGTAGTTCATCATTACCGACCTTCCTTTCGTATTTGATAAATTAAAATTTGATTTCGTCGGACTATGTGACATTTTCATTAGTATACCCAGCTGAGACCCGCGGTGTTACCCGCGTTTGTTGTTATAACCGCGGGCAACGCCGCGGGGCAAAGCTAATCTAAAAAAAGTAGCCTAAGTTACTCCTTATGTCATCAGCTATCTGCCAGTGAAACTCCCGTCGAAATCGGTCCAGCCGTTCCAGAGATTACCCGGAACAAACAGACAGACAGACAAAAGTTGTAAAAAATGTTATTTTGGCATATGTACCGTGTAAACATACATATGCATTTAGTAAAAAGCGGTCATTTTAATATTACAAACAGACACTCCAATTTTATTTATTTGTATAGATATAACGTCATCGCACACGCTCGGCATTAATAATTTAATAACTCCACACACAACAGCCTGATTCCAAACTAGGGAGAGCTAGTTTGGAGCCAGACTACTACTACTAGAGCACTAATGTACTAAACACATACATGTCTTCTATCTGGGTTTGTATACGCTTTAAATACTCAAAAAGTTCTGCACCGAGCTCAAATTTTGACACGAAATACAACCCGCTTCAAAGATGTTTTTTTTTTCCTTTTTTGCTACCACAATGTGCCACAGCTAAGCGTGGCAGGGCACAGCTAGTCTATACAAATAAATAAAATTGGAGTGTCTGTTTGTAATATGAACATAACCGCTTTTTACTAAATGCATATGTATGTTTACACGGTACATATGCCAAAATAACATTTTTTACAATTTTTGTCTGTATGTCTGTCTGTCTGTTTGTTCCGGGTAATCACTGGAACGGCTGGATCGATTTCGACGGGACTTTCACTGGCAGATAGCTGATGACATAAGGAGTAACTTAGGTTACTTTTTTTAGACTAGCCTTGCCCCGCGGCGTTGCCCGCGGTTATAACAACAAACGCGGGTAACACCGCGGGTCTCAGCTAGTTATCTATACAAATAAATAAAATTCTCTGTTTGTAATGTCAAAATAATCAGGTTTTTCATGCTCACATGGTTATTTGCACGATAGCTAAGCCAAAAAAACAGTTTTTATGTTTTTTTGTTTGTCTGTCTGTTTGTGCCGGGTGGTCTTCAAAACGGTAACTATCTATATAAGGAGTAACTGAGGCTATTTTTTCTTTTAGAAAAACCATATGAAAATTTTGACCAGTCTGGGAATCGAACCCACTAAAGAAGCGCTTTTCAAATTGACGTGCTCGATACACAATGATTAATTCTCTGGCTGCACTAGACCAACAGCCCTGTCAAAGTATGCTTTAAGTTTAAAAATTGTGTCCAGGAGTGTGGAGATGGCGACCGAGGAGTGGGTGTACCGCGCTCGCTTCGGGTGCCACTGCCGCCTGTGCCTGTGCGCCGCCAACAACGCGGAGGCGCTGGCCGCCTTCATCCGGGACGTCGTGTGGGCGCTCGCGCACTGTGAGTAGCGACGTCTGCTGACCGCCAGACGTATCACTTCCTAACTGCTGGACCTCAGCCTATGCTTGTCCACTGCTGGACATAGGCCTCTCCCAATGATTTCCAGCGGGGACGGTTGATTGTTACATGCTTCAAAAAATTTTTGTGTGACAGTGTGACATTTTCTTAGTCTACGTTTTTCTTTTGTTTTTTTTTGTTTCCTAAAATGAGATTCCTAAAAAGTATTTTTTTTTGTTGTTATTGATAAGTTATTTGAACTGTTGTTTCACACTTGGAATCTATTTGCGAATATCTGTGAATAGCTCCGGTGTTACTTTATTATAATGTTTTAACTTACGTTATTTGTGTTGTTGGTGTTCCGAACAAAAATCTAAATGTACATAATTGTCATGCGTTTTTTAAATAAACATTTAAAATACTTGAAAGTAATATGATTTGTCATTATTGTATATCCTGTGTATGTAATGTTTTGCTAGTGTGGAAATATGTTGGTCCTTCGAGCCGGATTTTGTTGTTAAGAAAATCATTTCTATAGTGTTATAGGTGATGTCCAGTCCAGACCAAATATTTGTATGTTACACAAAAGGATCCTTAGATCAATCGATTTAGAACATAGGTATTTAAGACAGAGGATTTCAACGTTTACTTTGGCACTCATAGGTACGAGTACAGTGGGAGCTGCTGCGAGGGTGGTGCGGGCCCTCCGGCCGCGGGGGGCGCACGGGCCCTTCCAGCACGAGCATCTGCAGCACTGGGACCTGGCCAGGCTACGGCGAGCTCTGCAGCCCCAGCAAGGTGAAATAGGTAAGGAAATTAACTACATATTATTATATTTACGGGAATTAGAAGAATCCCGTAATAGGCGTTAGTTATATAACATTATTTGTGTATCTAAAAGCTCTCTGTCGCCAAGGCCAGTGCAACCTGGTTGAAACGTTAGGCAATTTTAAGGATTATAGCAGATATAAATCCTATGAAATAAGTAAATTAAGTGATAACTTTACGTAACGCGTTACGGCGCCAGTCTATCTAGCTTCCCTTTCTCTCACGCATACGGCAGGGGTAGGCGAGCTCCTCTCTCACTCTAACCCACAGCGCTAGCCGTATTTCGGACAGACGCTTTACATAAAATTTAAGTAATAACCTAAGCTTTTCTTAAGTTAAACAATTTCAATATTAAATAGTTCAACTTAGATTAGTTTTTATTTTTTATTTGAAAAGCCATATATTAATGAAATCTGGGGACCAATGAATGGGATGGGGGAGGGAATATGATAATCGAAGGACCGTGTGCATCCTGTACCTACGAGCCGGATTCGAAAGTAATTCGAAAAGTATATATCATTATATGAAACCCTGATTATGAATGTAATTTTGCTTCAGGTGCAGCAATAATACATGAACAACTCTGCAAGCTTGCTCAACAAAACGAGGAGGCGGAGCAGATCGTTACTAAAATATGTCTGTGCAGACAGTTCGATAAACCGATGGAGAAAGAGTGAGTATCATTTCGACTCTCGTTTTGGTTGTTGGTGGCTCTCTCTGCATAGCTAGAGATCGTGGGTCCGATTACCCACCCCGGCTAAATAATCGTGTGGGCTTTATATCTCCCTTACAACCCCTAACAAAGATAGTAGGGATGAGGGTTGCTTGTTGCAGGTGTTCATGAGCGATTTTAGTGGCTTTCCAGCAGGTGGATGCTCGTTATATTCCAAAAAAAAGTTAATTTTTGTTTTTAAATTTTACAGATATGCAGTAGAAAGGTTTTGCAAAATATTGGAAAACTTTAAAGCTGCTTCTACGATAACATTCAAGGTATATTTTTTTATTTTCTTATTTCACCCAGGACAAATATTGTGTGATGAGCACGGTCATTTGTTCTGTGTCTGGGTGTAATTTATCTATAATATGTATGTATTTAGAAATATATAAGTATGTTTATCAGCAGTCTGGTTACCATAGTACAGGCTCTGCCTAGTTTGGGATCAGACAGCCGTGTGTGAGATGTGTGAGATATATTATTATTATTATTTATTTTGATTTTACCGTATATAAGTAGCCTATGTGCTATTTCAGATTATAATCTATGTCTCTGCTAAATTTCTCATAGATAAGTTGAGCCGTTCTGGCTTGATTTAGTAACAAACAGACAAACTTTCGAATACATAATTAGTTGGATTGATGGGGGTTTAAGTTATTTCTTTTTGTTAGAATATTAAACATACTTTTGTTTTGGAAAACTTTTAACAAATAATGTATTATTTTGTTGTCATATTCGTAAAACTGAGAATCCCAAGAAGTGTTATTAAGTTATGGCACATACATAACTCCACTCTTATTGTACATAAAGAAAGAAAGAAAACATATTTTATTTCTAAAATACACGACAAACAATTTATATGACATATAAATACACACACAAATACATATGGCAACCCTGTGCTAAAAAAAAAAGCTGTTTCGAATGTGTCATGTGACATGTCACGCACAATGCGGCAACACTGGCTACGTGGCATTCACCTCCACGCACAGCCACACTGGCGCTCACGTGTCAAATGTGTGACTAGGCAAGGCAGCCACACTCGCGTCGTGTATCAGAAATTTGGATAGACATTCAGCATACACTAAAATGGGTAGGACCCACCCCAGTTCTGATTTTCAGTGCCAACCACATACATACATAACTCCACTCTTATTGTACACTAGCTGACCCGCGCAATTTCGTCTGCGTCTCTCAATTGTAATAAATTTTCTCCGTTTTTGAAACATTCTTCATTGGTGCTCCGCTCCTATTGGTCTTAGCGTGATGATATATAGCTTATAGCCTTCCTCGATAAATGGGCTATCTAACACTGAAAGAATTTTTTAAATCGGACCAGTAGTTCTTGAGATCAGCGCGTTCAAATAAACAAAGAAACAAACTTTTCAGCTTTATAATATTAGTATAGATACATAACTCCACTCTTATTGTCCAAAACATTGTTTGTAGTAACTTTTAAGTTCAGTTCCATGATATATAAAATGTGTACGTACGGAAATTAAAGGTATCACGTATTAAGTAACAGCTGATTGCAAAAATACCTTCAAGCTCTGCTCGAAGGACCATGTATAACAGTTAATTTTTATAAAATAAGGGTACCGTTGAAATCACTTTGGATTTATTTCAAGCCACATCTTGACTAGACTGATTTGTTTATCTTTGGAAGGACCTCGTGACGTAAACGTTATTGAAATGAGGGTAGAAAACTGACAGAGAGAGTATTAAACGGGATGGAAGTTATATTCGTAGATGAAGTTAAGAGAGGTTCGTTTATGTCAGGTGGAGATGATCCCGCTGGGCGGCGGGAGCGGTGGCACGAGCTTCGCGCGCTGGGGCTGGGTGGCGGCGGCGCGGGCGCGGCTGGCGCGCTACCTGCGCCCGCACCAGCGCGCCAGCACGCGCGCGCGCCTCCGGGACATGGCCGCGCGCACCACGCCGCACGACCGTACGTACAACGATCAATTCATTGTAATTCGTTTTCATACTCGAGTTCGTTTATTTAATTGACACGTTTTATATTTCTAGTGAGCGCCTGGGCAGGGTACAAGCACAGGTGCGACTGTCTCACGCCTCGAACGCTCTGCTCTCAACAGAGGAAGCAATTGCTCAGGTATGTATATTATTATTATACGTTCTATTTAAAAGAAGACATTTTTGAACGATATATCTGAGATATTAATAATAATAATATTTCGGACAGTAATATTTTATATATTGAACGCGAACAGTGGTCCTTCGAGCCGATTTTGTACCTGATTTTAATAAATATTAATAAATTTAAGGCTACAAAACATCAATTCCAATCACTTGAGATGCTTTGGACCATGGGGGAGTCATGCTTCGCATATAGCCTTCTCGATAGGTGCCTCAATTCTGCTATTTAATGTTAACATACATACCACAGTCATTCCGTTGACACGCTACTGAGATGCCATTGAAATTGGTCAAAATATCAGTATTCTACTAACACAAATTCACGGTGTCAATGGCTCACCAATGGTTAAAATAATAACATTGCCATATCTGAAAAATTCAGTACATCATTTTCTTACAAATTTTAAGTGTACCGTCTTCCACACTATTACAGTGACGGTGTTCAGTGATCGGGAGACTTGCTCTTACACAGTTAATAGCATACGAAGTGCAAAACTATTCCGACGACATTCCATCGACAGTTATTTGAATACAATATTAAAATAGCAGAATTGAGGCCCGGAGTAATACGGCTTTACAGGAAACAAGTGCTATGCAGTAAGGTTACTAGAACCCTAAACCCCCCATTCCCCTATTCCTAGGAGGGGAAATCAAAAGGCGACAACGCACTTGGGACCCTTGGGACTTGGGACTATAGGCGGCGATAGTCACTTATGATCAGGTGACCCCTCACCGCCTTATAGTCTCCTTTGATCCAAGATAGCTTTTTATAGAAACTGTAGTATCTACTATAAGTCAATAGTAACTTTATTGCTTTAAACTATTTGTTTCAGAATCTCTTTCTTCGGTATGATGCAAGCTGTGAACGAATTCAACGGTGCCAAGCCAGGCACTGCAGCCGTCACCGATAAGGTAATATACCCTATTTAAATGCATCTCGTCTGAGTGACAAAAAACACATACTATTCTATTAGGTAAGTTGGTTTATGAACTCAAAAAGTTCTGCACCGATTGTGCTCAGATTTTGACACGATATACAACCCGCTTTGGTGACGCGCGTGTGGTGACGGATTAAGAATACAGAGTGTCACCACCCCTATTCATCCCGTGGGTGTCGTAAGAGCCGACTAAGGGAGTAAACTACGCTGAACAACAGCACTGCAGAGAGAAGGAAAACTTGAAACAAACCCTATACCAACCCGTTCGGCCAGCGTGGTATAGTAGGCCAAAACCTCCTTTCTAAGGAGAGGCCTATGTCCAGCAGTGGACTATTAAAGGCTGTTGATGATACAACCCGCTACAGAGATTGCTTTTATCAATCTAATGCTACCACAATGTGCCACAGCAAAGCTTTGACAAGGTCCAGATACTTATACATAAGTATATTTATAAGAGATTTCCATGTATATAGGCACTCATCACGATATCTCTGGAACCATTAGAGCTAAAGACTTTGAAATTTGGTAGGAATATTCTTTTCACCGAGCAGAGATCAGCTAAGAACGGATTTTAAGAAATTCAAAAAAATAAAATAACAATAATGTAAATAGAAAAACAACGTTTGTAGGGTCAGCTAGTACATAAATAAATAGTCCTTTCTCCGTGTTTGTGGCCAATACTCCGCTACTAACGGTCGTAGCGTTAAATAGGTTAAATCCTACATCAAATTGTGCTGTTTGTTTGTGATGTTGTGACTGCACGGATGGCGTAGTGGTTTAAACAGTGTTGTGGGTTCAACCCCCACATGGGACGACACTTTGTGTGTTCCACAATTTGTTGTTCTAAGTCTGGGTGTTCTTTGTGTCCGTTTCATGTATGTTTGTAAAGTTCGCCGCTACACAAGATACGTTTCTAATGCGGGTGTTGACTTAAAATGTTTTGTGGTGTGTCTTAGGACTACATTGAATACAGTAGTGCACCTGGGTTTGAATCCCCAACCTGAGAGGTTGGGGATTCAAATTCAATTCAATTCAATTCGCGCAATTGAAGAAAGTTCTTTATCTCTTTTTTTAACCAAACATCTGTCACGGAGAGAATTGACCTCTCCATGACAGATTAATACATATTTTTACAACACAAATCTTTTAGAAAGCATTGAGTCTTAAATTTAAAGTAGGCGAAATCGACCGCCAGCCGATTTATAGTTAAAATCGATAATAATAATATTACTGTGTCATTGTCTACAGCCTCCCATTGAGCCGGAGCCAGAAGCCAGCAGAGAGCTGCAGCAAGGAGACGGCACTGGCGCCAAGTAAGTGTTTGTTTATTTTATTTTACAACTTTACGCACTTGTGTACATCGGCGGGCATGCTCTACCAGCCAACCTTTGGGTGGTGTAGAAATCTGGTGGGTAGGGGCACTGAGGTTGCAGTTGTAATAGTCGCATATATATATATAGTTTCAGCTAACATATACATACACACATATCTAATATATAAAATTCTCGTGTCACGGTGTTAGAACTTGAACTTCTACGAAACGGTTCGACCGATTTTCGTGAAATTTTCGTGATTTTTGAAAAATATCGGGTAGCTCTGAGAATCAGCCAACATCTATTTGTCATACCCCTAATTTTTTTTTTTTTGGACATTTTTTTTTGAAATAATGTCTATGGCAAAACAAAGTTTGCGGGGTCAGCTAGTACATACATAAATATACTCATACAAATTATACACTTTTGCCCCGCACAACCAATCTGTGGATCGGGTTATCCGTAGTAGATAGTATTTCCGGACCGATACGACCTTCAATCCTTCTAGAATAGAGCGTTCTCCTTCCTAAAAGGCCGGCAACGCGTTTTTGAATCCTGAGTTGCAGACTTTCATGGGTGGCGATGGTCACTTTCTTTCATGTGACCCGTCTGATCGTCTGCCCCCTCTAATATAAAAAAAATACATAAATACACCTAAATACATATACTTTATTGCCGTCCAATACACCAAAATCACCCTGAGGTTTGCGATATATTATATTCGTACACTTCCCACTTCAAGTGGGAGCGCATTCCAGCAATGGGTATAGTTATATTCTCAATTCTAGTAATAGGACACAGGATATATTCCTAGTGGTGGAGTTGTGGACCCAACTCTACTGTTTTAATATTGTATCAATTGACTGTCGTAATAGTTTTGCACTTTCCGTATTCTACTATGTGAGACCAATAGTCTCCCGATGACTTCACTGAACTGCCACTGATACAAATGTCGCAGATGTCATTGTAATAGTGTGGTAACTAAATATTTTATTTCCTTCGAAATTTAAAATGTATCGTCACATTTTAAATTTGGAAGGAAATGAAATATTTAATTTGCCAGATATAGCAATGTTGATATCACCATTGATGAGCCACTGTTACTACATAGACATTCTATTGACACTGAATTTGTGTTAGTAGAATACTGATATTTTGACTGATGTCAATGGCATCTCAATAGTGTGTCAATGGAATAACAGTGGCTTGGAGTTAACATATTATTGAGGCCTTGATCATGAGCTCCTGATCATCAAAAGTGGTTTTAATTTAAACACAATATTTTATGTAGAATCTATTGTGACATGATGTGGATATGCGATTTACATAACAAAACATGAAATCTTTTGATTTTATAAATGTGTGTCTTTTGTCCAGACCGCCGGAGGAGCGCGCGGAGAGTGCCGACAGTGCCGACAGCGCGTCTGCTGACAGCGGCGACAGCGCCGACAGCGCTGACGACAGCGGAGAGCCCGACGGACAGCCGCGGACGCAGGACAACAGCGATTCAAACCACACTATAGACCTAGATGATCGTAAGTGTCCTACGACTACTGACTAAACTTTACACATAGGAAAACCGTGAGGTCCGACCGGAGTGATCAACCACAAAAAACTGGTGTTAAACAATTCTTTTTCTTCTTTTTTTTCTTTAAAAGACAACTCCCACATCTATATCTATACATCTATACAAATAAATAAAATTGGAGTGTCTGTTTGTAATATTAAAATAATCGCTTTTTACTAAATGCATATGTATGTTTACACGGCACATATGCCAAAATAACTTTTTTACTATTTTTGTCTGTCTGTCTGTCTGTTTGTTCCGGGTAATCTCTGGAACGGCTGGACCGATTTCGACGGGACTTTCACTGGCAGATAGCTGATGACATAAGGAGTAACTGAGGCTACTTTTTTTAGACTAGCTTCGCCCCGCGGTGTTGCCCGCGGTTATAACAAAAACGCGGGTAACACCGCGGGTCTCAGCTAGTTAGGAATATATCCTGTGTCGCGGGGGACTTTACACAGTAAGACTTTAGCTACTTACTACTTCACTGAGTGTTGTGGATTCAATATATATCCACAATAATATGATCCACAAATTGTTGTTCTGAGTCTGGGTGTTCTTTATTTCCGTTTCATGTATGTTTGTAAAAGTCCCCCGCGACACAGGATACATTACTAATGCGGGAGTTGTCCTTTATTTAAAAAAAAAAAAAATTGGCCGGCACTGAACTCTCCACCAATCCTAAAATCGCAAACCTCGATGTGATTTTGGTGTTGTGAATGGTCCAATTTTTTATTTGCGTTATAACTTCTGCCTTCATTGTGTTGTTGAGTTGTATTAAATGTATTATTGTTGTCTACAGTGTCAGATTCAGACGAGGGTTCCGGCACCGCCTCCTTAGGACTCTCAACCTCATCATCTTTAGACTCTGCATCCGAGCTGCTGCTGGCCGCGGCAGCCGCTGTGGAGTCTGGAGGGTCGGACGGAGAGGCTGCCCCTGGAGAGCTGTGCCGAACTGTACGACATCTCATGCGGTCTATTGCTTCTATTGAAAGACTGATGGACAGGGTTCTCAAGCATTGTGATGAATGGCCAGCACCACCTACTAGAAATGATCATGAAGCTAGGTAAGGATACTATACAGAATAATAAACCTTTATATACAGGGTGTAAGGGACGTCGTAAATTAATTACCTTTTCATGCAATCAGCTGTCAAAGGTAAAGGTCATTTCCCAAAATCTCATTCAATTTTTATCGCAAAAAAGTAATAACCTACATGTGTATTCCGTGCAAACAGTCTACGCACACAAGTTGGCGACCGGAGGCGAGGCCCTGCGCGCTTCTGCTTTTTGATTAATTACACTGCAGTTTTTGACCGTAGGCAGTATTTATTAATTTGTTTTCGGTGAAATGTTCTGTTTACTTACTGTGATATCATATTTAATAAAAAAAAATATGGAAAATCCGGCCGTAAATTCCAATGATTTTCTGAATACATGATGATGAATGATGGTCTGAATACACTTTTTCAGTATTCGTTACGATGTCCCTTACACCCTGTATATTGTTTTTATGTATGTTCGGGCATAACTCCGTCATATATAGACGGATTTTTTAAAATCTTTTTTCATTCCAAAAAAGTAGTTTATACCGAAATGGTCGCATTTAGATTTCATATAGATCTGATGATGAGTTTTGGAGACAGACAACGGAACTCTTCAAAAAATGACAGCAAATCACCCGTGATTGCTGCTAGGTTTTTAGTGCTCTTTGTTAGTATTGTTTGAAGTCGGTTCGACTCCTTTTTAAAAAGTATTTATTATAACAGGAAGTCATTTATATTACATTGTCAACAGGAAACGCGTGGATATGGGTCTTTCCGAAGTTGATAGAAAATTAATGGCAATGTACCGACGTCTGCCGGAAGTACACAGAAGGCAGCTACAGGTCTATAGGAAACAGAAGAAATTGTCTACGGTATGTACATCATCATCATCAGCCTAAATCGTCCACTGCTGGACATAGACCTCCCCCAAGCCAATATATAACATTAAAAAGCAAATATATAATTTTTTCATTTTTTCTTGGGAAAAATAGGATTTTTTATCCATCTAATTTTGTAACCCCTTATTGAGGATACAATCAGGTGACCACGGAGTTTTGTTCCAATTTGTATTTTATAATTTACAATTTTATGTACTTACGTACATTGGCTTACCTAATGTCTTGGGTATACTCTTGGTACAACCTTGTGATGGTGTAGAAATCTAATAAGTTACAGTCTTACAGTGCACTGAGGTTACAGTTGTCCTCAGTAGTTATAGATTTCCACGTAGGTATACACTGTGGCGGTATAGATATCACAAAAAATGAAATAACAGATAACACGGTTCAATATACGTCGGTTAAAATAAAAAAATAAAAAATTAGTACGAAAATACAGAAATGCAAATTTAGAACAAACTAAATACAATAAAATAATTTCCGAATTAGAACACCATTGATAACATGAGTCGGTGAACTGTACCTACACGGCAGCGTCGCAATGTCGGCGACATCAAAACGACGCCGCCGCCGGCGCCGCCGCCGCAGCCGCCGCCGCGACGAGCGAACTTTACATTCTTATTACCTACCTACCAATCACTTCACTTGCTTTTAAAAATCTATTTATAAAGAATGCGATTTTATTCACGTGTTTATTTCGTGAATGCTCGACTAGCTTCCGACCCAGCAGTACGCGTCACTCCTTGAAAAAGTAGTTACCTTGGTTGTCTCGTAATCTTTGTACCGCCCTTACAAAAATTCGGCAGTCTGTAGGACATACACGATTGACTCCATACGTGTCCGTAAAGCAAAAGATGCGTTTTGATAGAGTTTTCCATAAATTAACATCATAGCAGGCAGGCATATTCCGCGGCTGTGAAGGTCACTCACGGCATTATGGATGTTGATATCGATAACCCAATAAAAATTAAAAGACTGATAATGCACTCAGTTTCACACTACACTACACACAGAACCTAATAGTGACTTTTCAAAATAAAATTAGCAGGACTCCTTACATTACGAAGTCTTGCGCACACGATAACATTAATTGTTCACACCATTGCCGTGTATTATGACGAAAGCAATAAGACTAAACAATTATTACCACAAGAAAACTTCTCTAAACAAATATGTATCTCATAAACAACAACAATATTATTATTACGGTTATTTGTCGTGAGCGCATCTTCAAGGATACGGAATAGCATAAGCTCGCCGGTGGCCAAGGGCCGACTGACTGTCCTTACTGGATGAAGTAATTAAAAACGCGTGTTGCATCGTGATGACGTAATAATCAACATATTTCGTTCGATTCGGGTGTAGTAAAAGCGGCAACGTGTGATTACCGCGCCGCTGATCTATACCTACTGCTGATCGCCGCCTGAGGTCAATGTATTATGACTGCATGTACACATGATGTTGCAATTTACGAAACACAAAAATGAGTCCTGTGGCTAAACTACTGGATATATTTTGTTCATATTTTGCAAATCGCCTAGAAATTAAGGGCAGAATATGTGGCTTAAGTATTTGGGATAGGAAATGAAACTCTCTGTATAGTCACTCATCACGATATCTCTGGAACCATTAGAGCTAAAGACTTGAAATTTGGTAGGAATATTATTTTCAAAGAGTAGAGGTCAGCTAAGAACGGATTTTAAGAAATTAAAAAATATATATTTAAATAATGTAAATAGCAAAACAACGTTTGCAGGGTCAGCTAGTATAACATAAATTAAAATATACAAGGACATGATTCTCTCCACTTGAATATTCGTGGACTCCCTAGGGTGTTCATGGGACACTCACTATTACACTTAGACCCCCTAAATATAGTCCTTGCCTAAGATTGCCTGTAAAGGATCGACTCAGAGCGATGAGTCTCTAACTTGTATTGTTTACAAAGCTAGATTTTAATTCTCAAATAAAACGTCTGGGGGTTGAAATTAAATTTAATAATTATTCTCACATCCTCGGGTCTGGGATACGAGTGTAATAGTGAGTGTCCATGGATCCTATAGGGGGACCATGCGGGGGGTTTAAGTGGAAATAATGCAATCACACACACATACTTAAATATAAATACACAAAGTATTGGTACACTATTATGACTTGAGATAGGTCAGTAGTGGGCTCGCCGTGTAGGACAGGGCTAGGTGTTAGATGTGGTGGAGACACAGGTGTAGTGTGTCTGTCCCGCAGGTGTGCATGCAGCTGGTGGGCGGTCGCGCGCCGGCGCCGCCCCCCCCCGGCTCGCCGCCGCCCGACGCGCCGCCGCAGCCCTGCCGCGCGCTCTGCCCCGAGTACCACCTGCAGAGGTTCAAAGAGGTAAACGCTTTAACTCTTTACTGTACCGATTAACTCTTTACCGTCTAGCTGATACTCAGTGGGTTGTACGATGGCGGACTTAATGCCGCAGGCATTTTTTTTTAATAAATTCTACCACATTCACACGCAAAAACTACACAGAACAACAGCACTCCAGAGAGAAGGAAAACTTGACACAAACCCTATACCGACCCGTCTGGCCGGCGTGGTATAGTAGGCCAAAACCTCCTTTCTAAGGAGAGGCTTATGCCCAGCAGTGGACTATTAAAGGCTGTCGATGACCACATTCACACGACGCCATCTAATTCCAAACTAAGCAGAGCTTGTACTATGGCTACTAGATAACTGATATAAATAACATATCACATAACAAAACATACATATATACTTTTATTTTGTAAATACATACATATTATACATAGAAACACTCAGACCAAATCGAACATTACATGTTTATGCACACAAATGTTTGACTTGAGCGGGAATCTAACCCGAACATTGGAATTGCAGTCCGTTACACAAACCACTACGCCATCCAGTCACTGGGTTTCTCCCACGAACCACCACTCTCCACCAGTATATGAGATATAATTATAATTAAGTTTATGCATAAGTGAATTATATATTTATACAAATAGATAAAATGTCTATTTGTAATGTCAAAATAATAGGTTGTGTTTGTTACGGGTAGTCTGAGCCCTAAAGGTCTGACAACAGTGTTCGATATCGCCTAGTAGGTAATAGGGAATATGCATGTATTTTTTTTAACGATTCTACTAGTTATTACATAACCAAAAATAAATATAACACATCCGAAATATAAACCGTTAAGCAAAAAGTTTTTTATTAAAATCACTATCATTTTGGGGCAATTTGAACACGTCCATTTTGGCGCGCTTTTTTTGTGACGTCAGATTACACATTCAGACGAATTCGATGTCAACAACGGAGTGAAGTTCACAAAGTTTCTGAAAGTTAAAAAAGTGAGTGATAAAAATTAACTTATTACATGGAAAGCCAATAAAAACTTATTATAAATATTGTGCCGTTCCTTTGTGCCCAAATAATATCAAAACTGCACCTGACAAAGTATATTCAGTCATTGTGTTGAATCTTTCTACACGGGAATTTAATAATTTAACACTGAAAACGTATTAGTTTAGTGGTAGTATTAACTTAAAATGAAACAAAAAATCACCAGAAACCAAATATTACAAATACACACAACTTGTTGACACTCTTGACAGTGTAGGTTGACGTCACGTTTTATTCAACCAATAGCGTTGCGTTTTAGAAATTTGCGATGGAATCTTAAAAAAACCAATTTTTGATGATTAACTTTCACAATTAAATTATAATAAATTTCAAAAATAATTGTATTGGTATCTTTTTTTAGCAATAAAAATTACAAATAAAAATATTTTGTCCATTTTAGTGTCACGTGCATATTCCCTATTGAGTTGCGGCGTTCTGATGGTAGTTGCTCTGCGTAAAAAATCGAACTTACTGTATTAGACTTAAAAGCGACCCCAACCTAATTCATGAAACAATTAAAATTCATTAAACACATTCGAGCCATCTAAACTGAAACTTATCTCTACAGGGAGTTTACGTTGTATTATTTATCAGGTCCGACGCAAGGTGTTGCACATGAGGGATCAACAGCTGTATTACCATAGACTTCGGATGTGGCTCGAAGACCAGCTGCGCCAAGAACGGGAGAGGTAATATTCATTAGATAAACTTCACTTCATTTTTTTTTTTTATGGTATAAGGGGGCAAACGAGCAGACGAGTCACCTGCTGGTAAGCAACTACCACCGCCCATGGAAACCTGCAACTCAAAAGTCACAAGTGCGTTGCCGCCCTTGGAGTCCCTCTCGCTCGAGTCAGCGGGATTTGGGCGCTGGTAACTTCACTCACTCAGTGAAAGGCAACGAAAGAATTGCTTAACAAAGGTTTTCTGTGCACTTCGTTAGAGCCGGCCCATTCGTGCCGAATATTGTATGTGTATTTCTCCTGTTTGTTTAAATTAAACACAACTGTCTGATCCCAAACTTACTGGTGTTAACCAGTCTGTTGATAAATATAATTATATATTACTAAATACGTATACATATTATATTATATATATATATATACATATCATATTATAGGCCTGTTGGTATAGTGGTTAGTGACCCTGACTGCTAAACCAGAGGGCGTGGGTTCGATTCCCACCCAGGACAAATATTGTGTGATGAGCATGGTCATTTGTTCTGTGTCTGGGTGTAATTTATCTATATATTCCAGAGATGGAACAAATGATCGTGTTATGATCAATTGCGGGCCTTTTAGTGTAGTGGTGAATGTTTCTCACTGCTGAACTAGATTTCGTAGGCCTGATAGGCCTGTTAGGTTCGAAATTCAAGCTCCTGGTTGGAATTCGAACCTAACAGGCCTGAAATTGAGCACATATTAGAAAGTGGGGCATTAATTACTGTCTTCGTATTAATATAATTTCGATTAAATTTAAATATATTTATTTTACAGTTTACCGGAGAGCAATGTTACTTTAATAGAAGACTTACCCCGCCGTAAACGGCGAACGTTGAGCCCCAAAGTGCCACGGCTTACCACTGCGCCTAAACGGAAACTCAAATCCGTCTCCCCTTCAATCAGCAAGCCCCACAAAATACTCCAAATGCTTAAACACAAAGCCCCAGCACAAACAACTCAACTCCTGACAGAAGACTTGAAGAACGACGAGGAAATCACCAAATGTGAGGCGGAGCCTCCGGAAGCATTTCCTTTAGAAAGAGAAGAAAATATCAGCGATACAGAAACTATAGTAGGAGAGAAAGAGACGGATATATGTAAGGAAATGAAGGAATGTTTGGCGAAATTCTCCAATTTCGGCCTGACTAGTGACACTCCGGAGATTGAGACCAAATATCCTGAGTCCGTGAGCCCCCCTCTTCAAGAGATGTCTCCGACCACACCAGAACCGATGCCTGTGTATTCTTCTAAACCTAATCAGCGATTATTAAAAGTAAATAAATTTTTAAAAGAGGACAAAGAGTTCAGTATGGCCCCTGAAGTTTTAAATATGCCTTTAAACGCTCGACGAACTCCGCTTTTAGTAAGAGAAGACAAATTAACCGATACTCATATAGAAAAGGATCCCAGCATTTATAAGTATGTTTCCTTCGGTATGGAAATTAAAAAAGCCATGGAGGAATGTCAGAACATTATAAACTCTTACAACACTATCAAGGATAACAAAAAAGAAGATGGACAGTTATCATTAGAACACATATGCGAAGTCATGATGACGTTGGACAAGAATTCAGCTGAATTCCTAGACAAAATGGACACGGACGAGAACATAGATATGAATATAGCGAACACGAAACTGGCGGAGTTAGTCGAAAATATGCCGCAAATTTTAGCCAACATGCCCGAAATTGCTGGCAAACTCTCGGAGTTCGCCAACGCGAGCTTCGAACTACCAGAATTCGCTTCTATAATGAACAGCTTACCGGACGTCAATAACGAAGCGCAGCTAACACCGGAAACGTTAAAACAAATTAGGGAACTTAAATTAAGTAAGACAAGAGATGGTGTAAAAGTGACGAAAAACACAACAAAACGTAAAACACAACGTAGAATTAAGAATAACGTGGAAAGTAGCGATTTAATAGGCACAATGACGTTTGAACTCGATAATAAAGACTTAGTGGAAATTCTCAAAGACGAGAAGGATCTTCAGTCCATGATGAAGAACAAAAATAAAGAAGAATTTAAAGATTTATTATTCTCTATAAGCGCTCAAGTTGTTATTAGTAAAGTGTTCGAATATCTCAAGCAGAACAAGTCTCCTGAACTTGCCAAGTGTTTGGAAGATGACAAGGAGTTGTTCTCTTTGCCCTGTTTAAACACCGAAATGTGTTCAAAAGCGTCCACACTCTTCGACAACTCCGTCAAAGACGCGTTAAGTATGGACGAACTTAGGGACTTAGTGAGATCACGTTTTAACTCTTGGAAAACTTATGTGGCGACAAAATTTAAAAGTATACCCATGGAACTGTTAGAAAATGAAATTGAAGCTATGCTCGATAAGTTCTACACTTACATACAAGATCTAGCCGGGAAGAACCGGAGTCAGGATCCAGAGCGAGTTGTTAAAAAAATTGAGGATTTAAGAAAGAGTGATATTTATAACTCTGATTCAGATTCAAAGGACACCGTGAAGAATATTCTTCTCACAACATCTGCAGGCCACACATTAGATATATTAATTATGAAGTTTCCCAAATTAACACAGGATAAGAAAGAGTTAGTAAAAGGCCTTAAATTCAAGTATACTAATGTTCTATCACGGTGGGTGGAGTCACAACCTCTCGCCAACTGGATGATATCTGATCCAGAACTAGCAATTAACACCATACAGGAACTCATGGGTTTTGATATTAAAAAACCTGACAATGTGCCGGACTTTTCAACGATGAACATAGAGAAAAAACGTGATTACTTTCTGGATAGAATAAGGGATGTTAATAAGCAATATATGGTAAGTCTACCGAAGAAGGCTTTGTCCGGTGACGAGTGGTTAGTTATGTTGTATAAATTGGAACAGTACGAGGTCAAACTAAAAGATTCATTCAGTAAACTAACTCCTACTGTTAAAACCACTCAAACAGCCAGCGAAGCTGAGATCTTAGCAGCAAAAGGCCTTAGTAAAATTATCGGGAAAGCAAATGTAAGAGTAGTGAAAAAAACTGAGCCACCCAAGAAGAAAGAAGAAGTAAAAGAAGATGATAAACGATGTAAAAACGACGCGCTCCTAGCTAAATGTGAAGCTATACTAACATCGAAGGGGGAAAAATCATTGCTAGATAGTTTTTATACCATCAAGTCTTACATAACTCAAGGTTTACCCGTCCCGGAGACATATAAAAAGCACGTGATATCAATATGTTCTAGTATTGACGCGAAATTGCTTGACGAAGACTTGGAAGACTTGAAGTCTGATAAGGAAGATAGTCCAGGTACTCCAGACAGTACAATGAAAGACAAATCTTCTGGTACCCAAAACCATGAAGATTTAGCGAAGTATTCAGCTCAAGCTTTAAGGAATGCGAGACAAACATTAAATGCTGTCGCTTTTAAGAACATTAGTCGAAACGGCCAGTCGAAATCTGAAAGCGATGTGTGTGACACGCCGAAAACTGATTGCAAATGGACGAATGACTGTTCGTGCAACTCTTGTAAAGATAATGATAATTCCGGGTTGTGTTTGAGTAGCAATATAAGTGATATAGTGCAGAAGTGTATAGAGTTTGATAAGAGTAGAAAAGAAGATAGGAAGGAGAGAAAAGATGTAAAGAAGCAAGTCCCGAAGCCGAAGCAAGTTGCTAAGGCGTGCGAGAATACCAATCACTTACAACATATTTGTAAAGGTATGTGTTTTTAATCGACTTTAATTAGACTATTTATAACTCCGAATTTCCGTCTGGTAATTAAATACTAGTGTCACCACCCCTATTCATTCCGTGGCTGTCGTATGAGCCGACTAAGGGAGCTAAACAAACCCTTCTGGTCAGCGTGGTATTATAGGCCAAAATCTTCTTTCTAAAGAGAGGCCTATGTCCAGCAGTGGACTATTGAAGGCTGTTGATGATGATGATGAAACAATGACAATGAGTACAATTGGTTAGCAAATTGAAGTAAATAAATAACTCAATTATTATTTGATTTGTTAGTACATTAATTATGAATTGATTTAGAAAAATCTTTTTTTATTTGAAAGAGTATAGTTCCCGTTTGTTGCCATTAAAATTTTAGGAAAACAGTCTACCCTTAAAAGATAAAAATTAGGAAATAATATTAAATCCTGATAAAAAAATATTGAACCGACTTCAAACACTTCTAACAAAGAGCGCTAAAAACCTAGCAGCAATCGTGGTTGATATGCTGTCATTTTTTTTAATGAGTTCCCTTTTCTGTCTCCGTAACTCATCATCAGATCTATAAAAAAAATTAAATGGGACCATTTCAAACAAAAAAGAATTTTCAAAACCCGTCCATATATGACGGAGTTATCCCCAAACATACAAAAAAAAATCATAACCTTCGAATTGATCCACCTCCTTTTTGTAGTCGGTTAAAAATAGAGTTTATAACAATTAATCATGAAGTAGGCGGTTTGAAGTCGGTGATACTATTTGTTAATTATTGTTATATTCAATATCGAAAATAATATTACAATCCGTTCGCATTAAGAAAATAGTGACACATCCATCAAACCCCGCTCCCTGACCAATTGTATTATCGTTTTGTACGTTGAAATCTAATTGGTCAAGGGGCGGGGTTTGATCGACGCATCACTATTTTCTTAACGCGAATGGACTATAGTATTAAAATCTCTATGGACTGATGTTGAATGGACTATAAATTTGTGTTGTGTTGTAATAGTGGTCCTATAATATATACATATATCCCCCTATAATAGTACCCCCCTTAAGGGTGAAAAGTAAGTTAAGAAATGAAGAATACAGTTTATTATAATTCATCATGATGTAGGCGCAGTCGCATTTTATAATAACTAATTCATAAATTAACTTTTTTTTTTACTCCAATCTGTATAATAATTAGGTGTGTTGGAGGTATATGTCTAGAGGTATGTTTGTGTTGTCATCAGTGGGCCACGGGGGCAACATGTGCGCGGGGGAGGGCGCCGACCAGCCCTGCACCTGCTGCTACTGCACCGTGTTCGGACACGCCGTGAGTATACCTACCCCATGTACCTATAGCGAAATCTTAGGGCCTGTGCCTTGCTCCAGGGACTTCCTTTCTAGGGTATACCTGGTTCCCCGGCTATTAGTACCCGAGACGGCGTGCGGTTTTAGTCGGTTTGAGTCCGACCTGCCACCGATAGGTGGTATCCGAGGGGATTTCCGCACGGAAAAAAATAAAAAAAAGGGCCTGTGCCTAATTTACTGACAGATTTTAAGCATATTTATTTGGTAACGACAATAAGTTCTCAGATTATTCTTTCTTCTTCTGAACATGCTTACTACACGGTTACAGATTATTTAGATGACAAAGCTTGGGATTGATGCTGCTCACTCCCACATTTGAAAGTGACGAACAATTTCTTTTTTTGTTTTAATTCGTATTTCGTTTGTTTATTTTTTCGTAGAAATTGAATTGTATAGTTTTTTTTTTTGTTGTTGTGCCAACTTCTTTAAACGCATTGGGTATTTTCTGAGATGGAAAAAAAAAATCGAACTCGCGACACTGTTACCGTTACCGACACCGGTGTATATAAGTTTTCACTTCTGTCTGCACTGCCAGCGTGCGACTCTGTTTTTATTTATCTTGTTGTCACAGCCACCGCTGACGACGCCTGTCCCGCCGAAGTTCAACGAGACGAGAGAACGTCTGCGGTCCATTCTCAACAAGAAAAAACAGCAGTGTAAAAGTGCTAATGTAAGTTAATTTTGGCTGTCTTAGTGACGTCTCCAAGCCAAGGTACGGCAGCCTGGCACCTAAGGCTAGGGCAGATCTACCAGACTCCGCTTGGAGGGGTCCGGATGTCTTAATAACAGCTGTTGCCGGACCCCTTCTTTTTCAGAGTGGCACATCGTGTTTTTTAGACGGCTCTGACACACCAGCCCAATCCTGGTGGGTGACGGTCCACACGTAGACTGAATCTCTCTCAGCCCCTTTCCTTTACCCCCCCCTTTTTCAGCTTTTTCTATCTGTTTTCTTGACGTTTCTAAGAACCCATCGCTAAGCATTTCCGTACATAGCATTCCGCTACCGGCGACGGACACGCGTCGGTTGTCGGTTGCGAGCGGCGGACGGTCAGAGAAACCCGCGCTAAGTGGTGTTCATTGTTAAAGGTTAAAACAAACAAGTATGAACTAGATGGAGGCTTGTATAGGAGCTATAAAAACTTCGTCCCAATAATGATAAATGTCGTATATATCAGGGCGATCCCGAACCACAACCAGTAAAGCAAGCACCCACTCAGCCAGCGGTGAGTGAGCCGCAACCCGCACCTAAGCCGCAAGCCGCACCAAAACCGCAAGCCGTCCCAAAACCGCAAGCCGTACCAAAACCGCAAGCCGCACCCAAGCTGCAAACCGCTCCTAAGCCGCAAGCCGCCGTACCGAAGCCTCAACTTAAAGCGCCGCCCATCGCTCCTAAACCTCCAGTAAGTGTATTTAAATTTAGATGTGATATGTCGCAGAGACGATTGTAAGGCCGTCAGGGTTTGATTCTCGTTCAATGAAATATCTTTTATCCATGAATTATGACTGTTTTTATTCTTCTGTGTTTTTTTTTCTATCTATAAATATAAAATGCTTTATATGTTGTATGCCCCCATGTTATGAAAAGATTTTTGACAATTTACACCTAATAGTCAATCAACAATATTTAAATAATATAAAACAAAATATTTGTAACTCTTTGAACTGTCGCTTTGAAGTCAGACTTCGCTAAAATTTAAAAAAAAAAGTACTAACAAAGAGCACTAAAAACCTAGCAGCAATCGCTGTTGATTTGCTGTCATTTTTTGAAAAGTTCCGTTGTCTGTCTCCGAAACTCATCATCAGATCTATATGAAATTTAAATGGGACCATTTCGGACCAAACCCCATTCGAACAACAAAAAAATTTTGAAAATCCGTCTAAACATACATAAAAAAATTATAAAATCCGAATCCTTTTTGAAGTCGGTTAAAAATGAAAATGTTTTCCTTGCAGGCCTTGCCAAAAACTCAACCTCCTAATCTGACGGCGGCTCAAGTACAGCAGAAGCGTCAGTCCATAGACAATCAACAGAGACAGTTGGCGGACAAGATGGCGAAGATGGCCGTCTCGGAGAAGCCCGCAGACAATAAACCCAAGGTAACAATTATTTGTGGGTTTTTAACCTCTGCCTCAATAGGAAGCCCATTATACGTTGCCTGCACTGCCTGGCGTAGTGGTTTAAGCGGTCGCCACGCTGCTTCCTACTGCGCTGAGTGTTGGTTCAGCGACAGCCTATTGCTAGTTGACTCAATTTGAAAACTTGGTTAATTATATACTTTAATATCTATTTTATCCCAAAAACCTATATTTGAAAGATAAAGCAAAATTTACATTACGTATTTTGTATTAAAAAAAATAATAATTTAAATTTCCTTCGAAAACGGTGAATAGTGTCTTGATGACGTCACAGTCTGCGAAATAAAACTGTTTACATGTGTCCACTGTCAACTGTTTTCAAAAAATGAATAAGGAATAAGGAGTAACCTGCTCTGTTGTATGAAAACGTCAACAACGCAATGATGTTTTGCGTGGCGTGACGTAACACTTTCTGATTGGTGTTCGCTGTCACGTGACTTAATACCTATTTTGTTCGAATTTGTTTTTTTTTTTAATATTAATAATCCTTAACTTTTATGAGAAATAGACTGGTTTTTTCTTATCTATGTCTCTTCATTTATAATTTGAAACTATAAACCAAGCAATTTGTTATTAGTGGACACAAGCCTATTGTAGTGTATTACATATAATACACTACAATGTCTCTAAAGTGGTTTAAAAACAACTACTTTATGTGTTTTAAGGTATTACAACGCACTGTGCCGGTACAAGTAAATGTACTTCCCGGGCTGAAAGCCGAGGGTGTAGTGAATCCAAACGCTATGGAGCAGATTCGAATACAGGTAAGACAAAACTCATCATCATCAACAACCTATAATAGTCCACTACTGGACATAGGCCTCTCCTTAGAAAGGAGGTTTTGGCCTACTATACCACGCTGGCCAGACGGGTTGGTATAGGGTTTGTTTCAAGTTTTTCTTCTTTTTGCTGTGCTGTTGTCCTGCGTTTGAATGTGTGATGAATGTGTGATGTGAAATTGTGTGATGAAGCACGGTCATTTGTCCTGTGTGTGTCTGGGTGTAATGCCGAGTAAGGGAGCAAACTACGCAGGACAACAGCACTGCAAAGAGAAGGAAAACTTGATACAAACCCTATACCAACCCGTCTGGCCAGCGTGTTAGAGTAGGCCAATTTGACTGCACGGATGGCGTAGTGGTTTAAGCGGTCGCCACGCCGCTTCCTACTACGCCGAGTGTTGTGGGTTCAAACCCCACATGGGACGACACTTTGTGTGATCCACAAATTGTTGTTCTGAGTCTGGGTGTTCTTTGTGTCCGTTTCTTGTATGTTTGTAAAAGTGCCTAAGTAATTTATCTGAAGTTTGTATGTATTCAGAAATAGTTTAATATGTTTATCAGCAGTCTTTCTGCCATAGTACAGGCTCTGCCTAGTTTGGGATCAGTCATGTGTAAGATGCGTAAAGTTCTTATTATTCAATGTGCTCAAATGTCTTTTTTGCTTTAGCAAATGAAGCAAGCGCAACAGGCTCAATACCAACAGCAGTTGCAACAACAACACGCACAACAACTCGCACAACAACAGAAGAAACCGGAGCCAATATACGATTTGCCGATTCACAACAAACCGACGTTAACACCGCAGCAACAGCAACAAATTAGGCAACAACAGCAACAGGTGGGTAAACTATGGCGATAAAGTATTTTTTGTTAGTAATGGTGCGGGTTTGAATAAACTAAGTCTATTTAATTTGAGATTTATTTATTGTTGTTTTCAAAACTTGAAGTTAGCCGTTATGGCGTGTTTGAGAGTCAAACAACAAAAACATTTGTGTTTATAAAATTAATAGTAAAACAATTCCTCATACAGCTACTTCAACAAAAACTCCAACAACAAAAACAGCAGCAGCAGCAACAACAACAACAACAACAAGCGCAACAACAGCAGCAGCAACAAGCTCTCCAGCATGCCCAGCAACAAGCCCAACAACAAGCCCAACAACAAGCCCAACAACAAGCGCAACAACAAGCTCAACAGCAAGCGCAACAACAAGCTCAACAGCAAGCGCAACAACAGCAACTGAGACAGAGTCGACCACAACAACAGCGAAGCAATGTTTCACTATCCAGTCGGGATACAAGTGTGTTCTCTACTTCCTCTGGATGTTCTGGGTAAGTTGATGTTGAGTCCGGTTGCTAGTACACAAATACACAATACAATGCGATCTCCTGTTGTGGCCATCAAGGTATATAGTGGGCCAAAATCTCCCAAGGAGAAGCCTATGTCCAGCAGTGGTCTATTAGAGGTTGTTGAACGGGTAATGCATTCCACAAAGGCACAGACATAATAACAAAGTATTGGTTAAATAAATCGTCAGTTAAGTAATTGATGAAAAAGAAAGAAATGAAATATTCGACATACTTTTATTATTTTCCAGTGGATCGTGTTGGCGCGGCAACAGACCTGAAGACACGCGGGACCTGGACGCCTTACTCCAATACATTGAAGGTCCGTCCAGATATGTCGACAGAGGCAAGAAACGCGCCAAGAAGCAACGCCAGAAAGCCAAGAAGGTCAGTCATTGCATTATTCTTTTATTACTGTGCTGCAGTATTCGTCTCTCATCTGTTATATGAGCAGATAAAAAAAAAAAAATAGCATCAATTCGAGATTCATTGTTGTGTGGTTGAATATTTCTTCTTTTTAATTCCTAATCTTCGGTCTTGATTGTTAATGTAATTACAAGTATGGCTGATAAAAGCGTGTATCAATAATCTGAGAATTCTGTTCGCTCGGAATCACGGATCGTCTGTGTCGGTGGTGATCGGCGTCGTGTCTGTCGTTTAAAACGTTCGTACAGGCTTCCCGAGGCATAGGTCTTTTGAAAAAAGAGAAAGAGAGTGCTGGCGGCGCGCTGTAGGGACGGTCTGTGAGTGTGTCTGTGCTGAGCGCTGAGTGTGTGTACAGATGGAGGTGCGGCTGGCGCAGGAGCACGCGCAGGTGTCGCGCGAGCTGCTGGCGGCGCGCTGTAGGGACGGTCTGTGAGTGTGTCTGTGCTGAGCGCTGAGTGTGTGTACAGATGGAGGTGCGGCTGGCGCAGGAGCACGCGCAGGTGTCGCGCGAGCTGCTGGCGGCGCGCTGTAGGGACGGTCTGTGAGTGTGTCTGTGCTGAGCGCTGAGTGTGTGTACAGATGGAGGTGCGGCTGGCGCAGGAGCACGCGCAGGTGTCCGGGCGTGCTGCTGGCGGCGCGCTGTAGGGACGGTCTGTGAGTGTGTCTGTGCTGAGCGCTGAGTGTGTGTACAGATGGAGGTGCGGCTGGCGCAGGAGCACGCGCAGGTGTCGCGCGAGCTGCTGGCGGCGCGCTGTAGGGACGGTCTGTGAGTGTGTCTGTGCTGAGCGCTGAGTGTGTGTACAGATGGAGGTGCGGCTGGCGCAGGAGCACGCGCAGGTGTCGCGCGAGCTGCTGGCGGCGCGCTGTAGGGACGGTCTGTGAGTGTGTCTGTGCTGAGCGCTGAGTGTGTGTACAGATGGAGGTGCGGCTGGCGCAGGAGCACGCGCAGGTGTCGCGCGAGCTGCTGGCGGCGCGCTGTAGGGACGGTCTGTGAGTGTGTCTGTGCTGAGCGCTGAGTGTGTGTACAGATGGAGGTGCGGCTGGCGCAGGAGCACGCGCAGGTGTCGCGCGAGCTGCTGGCGGCGCGCTGTAGGGACGGTCTGTGAGTGTGTCTGTGCTGAGCGCTGAGTGTGTGTACAGATGGAGGTGCGGCTGGCGCAGGAGCACGCGCAGGTGTCGCGCGAGCTGCTGGCGGCGCGCTGTAGGGACGGTCTGTGAGTGTGTCTGTGCTGAGCGCTGAGTGTGTGTACAGATGGAGGTGCGGCTGGCGCAGGAGCACGCGCAGGTGTCGCGCGAGCTGCTGGCGGCGCGCTGTAGGGACGGTCTGTGAGTGTGTCTGTGCTGAGCGCTGAGTGTGTGTACAGATGGAGGTGCGGCTGGCGCAGGAGCACGCGCAGGTGTCGCGCGAGCTGCTGGCGGCGCGCTGTAGGGACGGTCTGTGAGTGTGTCTGTGCTGAGCGCTGAGTGTGTGTACAGATGGAGGTGCGGCTGGCGCAGGAGCACGCGCAGGTGTCGCGCGAGCTGCTGGCGGCGCGCTGTAGGGACGGTCTGTGAGTGTGTCTGTGCTGAGCGCTGAGTGTGTGTACAGATGGAGGTGCGGCTGGCGCAGGAGCACGCGCAGGTGTCGCGCGAGCTGCTGGCGGCGCGCTGTAGGGACGGTCTGTGAGTGTGTCTGTGCTGAGCGCTGAGTGTGTGTACAGATGGAGGTGCGGCTGGCGCAGGAGCACGCGCAGGTGTCGCGCGAGCTGCTGGCGGCGCGCTGTAGGGACGGTCTGTGAGTGTGTCTGTGCTGAGCGCTGAGTGTGTGTACAGATGGAGGTGCGGCTGGCGCAGGAGCACGCGCAGGTGTCGCGCGAGCTGCTGGCGGCGCGCTGTAGGGACGGTCTGTGAGTGTGTCTGTGCTGAGCGCTGAGTGTGTGTACAGATGGAGGTGCGGCTGGCGCAGGAGCACGCGCAGGTGTCGCGCGAGCTGCTGGCGTCGCGCTGTAGGGACGGTCTGTGAGTGTGTCTGTGCTGAGCGCTGAGTGTGTGTACAGATGGAGGTGCGGCTGGCGCAGGAGCACGCGCAGGTGTCGCGCGAGCTGCTGGCGGCGCGCTGTAGGGACGGTCTGTGAGTGTGTCTGTGCTGAGCGCTGAGTGTGTGTACAGATGGAGGTGCGGCTGGCGCAGGAGCACGCGCAGGTGTCGCGCGAGCTGCTGGCGGCGCGCTGTAGGGACGGTCTGTGAGTGTGTCTGTGCTGAGCGCTGAGTGTGTGTACAGATGGAGGTGCGGCTGGCGCAGGAGCACGCGCAGGTGTCGCGCGAGCTGCTGGCGGCGCGCTGTAGGGACGGTCTGTGAGTGTGTCTGTGCTGAGCGCTGAGTGTGTGTACAGATGGAGGTGCGGCTGGCGCAGGAGCACGCGCAGGTGTCGCGCGAGCTGCTGGCGGCGCGCTGTAGGGACGGTCTGTGAGTGTGTCTGTGCTGAGCGCTGAGTGTGTGTACAGATGGAGGTGCGGCTGGCGCAGGAGCACGCGCAGGTGTCGCGCGAGCTGCTGGCGGCGCGCTGTAGGGACGGTCTGTGAGTGTGTCTGTGCTGAGCGCTGAGTGTGTGTACAGATGGAGGTGCGGCTGGCGCAGGAGCACGCGCAGGTGTCGCGCGAGCTGCTGGCGGCGCGCTGTAGGGACGGTCTGTGAGTGTGTCTGTGCTGAGCGCTGAGTGTGTGTACAGATGGAGGTGCGGCTGGCGCAGGAGCACGCGCAGGTGTCGCGCGAGCTGCTGGCGGCGCGCTGTAGGGACGGTCTGTGAGTGTGTCTGTGCTGAGCGCTGAGTGTGTGTACAGATGGAGGTGCGGCTGGCGCAGGAGCACGCGCAGGTGTCGCGCGAGCTGCTGGCGGCGCGCTGTAGGGACGGTCTGTGAGTGTGTCTGTGCTGAGCGCTGAGTGTGTGTACAGATGGAGGTGCGGCTGGCGCAGGAGCACGCGCAGGTGTCGCGCGAGCTGCTGGCGGCGCGCTGTAGGGACGGTCTGTGAGTGTGTCTGTGCTGAGCGCTGAGTGTGTGTACAGATGGAGGTGCGGCTGGCGCAGGAGCACGCGCAGGTGTCGCGCGAGCTGCTGGGGCTAGGGACGGTCTGTGAGTGTGTCTGTCTGAGCTGATGTGTGTACGATGAGTGCGGCTGGCGCAGAGCACGCGCAGTTCGCGCGAGCTGCTGCGGCGCGCGTAGGACGTCTGTGAGGTGTCTGTGCTGAGCGCTGAGTGTGTTACAATGGAGGTGCGGCTGCGCGAGCACGCGCAGGTGTCGCGCGAGTCTGCGGCGCGCTGTAGGACGTCTGTGGTGTGTCTGGCTGACGCTGAGTGTGTGTACAGATGGAGGTCGGCTGGCGCGGAGCACGCGCAGTGTCGCGCGAGCTGCTGGCGCGCGCGTAGGGACGTCTGTGAGTGGTCTGTGCTGACGCTGATTGTGTACAGTGGGGTGCGCTGCGCAGGAGCCGCGCGGTGTCGCGCGAGCTGCTGCGGCGCGTGTAGGACGTTGTGAGGTCTGTGCTGAGCGCTGAGTGTGTGACGATGGGGTGCGGCTGGCGCAGAGCACGCGCAGGTGTCGCGCGAGCTGCTGGCGGCGCGCTGTAGGGACGGTCTGTGAGTGTGTCTGTGCTGAGCGCTGAGTGTGTGTACAGATGGAGGTGCGGCTGGCGCAGGAGCACGCGCAGGTGTCGCGCGAGCTGCTGGCGGCGCGCTGTAGGGACGGTCTGTGAGTGTGTCTGTGCTGAGCGCTGAGTGTGTGTACAGATGGAGGTGCGGCTGGCGGCAGGAGCACGCGCAGGTGTCGCGCGAGCTGCTGGCGGCGCGCTGTAGGGGACGGTCTGTGAGGTGTGTCTGTGCTGAGCGCTGAGTGTGTGTACAGATGGAGGTGCGGCTGGCGCAGGAGCACGCGCAGGTGTCGCGCGAGCTGCTGGCGGCGCGCTGTAGGGACGGTCTGTGAGTGTGTCTGTGCTGAGCGCTGAGTGTGCTGTACAGATGGAGGTGCGGCTGGCAGCAGGAGCACGCGCAGGTGTCGCGCGAGCTGCTGGCGGCGCGCTGTAGGGACGGTCTGTGAGTGTGTCTGTGCTGAGCGCTGAGTGTGTGTACAGATGGAGGTGCGGCTGGCGCAGGAGCACGCGCAGGTGTCGCGCGAGCTGCTGGCGGCGCGCTGTAGGGACGGTCTGTGAGTGTGTCTGTGCTGAGCGCTGAGTGTGTGTACAGATGGAGGTGCGGCTGGCGCAGGAGCACGCGCAGGTGTCGCGCGAGCTGCTGGCGGCGCGCTGTAGGGACGGTCTGTGAGTGTGTCTGTGCTGAGCGCTGAGTGTGTGTACAGATGGAGGTGCGGCTGGCGCAGGAGCACGCGCAGGTGTCGCGCGAGCTGCTGGCGGCGCGGCGCGAGGTGGGCGCGCTGTACGCGGCGCACGCGGACGCGGTACGCAGCGTGCAACACACGCGACAGCTGCTCGACGCGCACGTTAATAGGAAGAAGAAAGGTAAGCGTCACCGAAACTATTGAAGATCCGATAAAGTGTACCCCAAATATGTGTACCTATGTATTTCACTTTTACATTATAAAATTGTATTATTCCGTTATTCTAATATCCGAAACAATTGGCTGCACACAAGTATACAAGTCATACACACACATGTGAAAGGTGCGCACGATAGGTTGCGCACAAAAACGTAACGAGGTCATTCGATCGCTAAATTTTACTCTTCATGTTTTTTTTATACCGGGCGCCTAATATGAAAATCTATTCTTAAGAAGTAAACTCAAAAAAAATCAAGTCAATGACTCGTAATTGACATATCTGCGACTGCCGGATATCCTGAAATAATTCCATATTCAACATAGTACAGGCTGACTGGCTCGGTGGTACACGCTCTCGATTTGCTAGTCAAGGCGGTTCTTCACAGAACCAATAACTTATTTGAACTTTTTGCAAAATCAATACATATTACGTAATTTTGATCCTACTTTCTGGTTCTTTTAAAGTTTTAAGTGAAAACTTAAAGGTGAATATAACTAACGTGAATAACGCCTCGCGACATAAATTGAACTTTATTGAGTGCGAATAAGAGTCGGTTTTTAATTAACTATGTTTTACTTCAATGACCAATTGAACTTGAATTACAATTTTATACTTGATATTTAAACCCCCGCCGGAAAACGAGGGGTGTTATAAGCTTAACCTGAGCATCTGTCTGTGTCTGTAGCATCATAGCTCGCGAACAGACCAATTTCGATGCGGATATTTTTGTTCGAAAGCCAATGTGATCGAGATGGTCGTTGGCTATAAATTTTGATTATCATCAGCTCACTTCCTAGGTGATGAAGGGATCTCACTAAAATCTGCACGATCGATTGATATGAAATTTAATATACTGTTACTTTGATGGTATTTCCACGATATAGTAACCTGGAATTTGCTGCGGCACAAGTATGGGGGGGGTTACTTTGCGATACAGGATTAAGAGTTATGCCCGTAGTTCGGCGTGTCTTCGCTAGATGGCGCTGTAGTATGTTTTTATATTTCACTGTGTTGAAGTGGCCATATACTTATATTTTCTGTGGTAACGTTTGATTCTGTGCGAAATTGTATCTTTAATTTGTAAATTATTTAAATAAATCATTGCCTAACGCCCCTACTTTAAACGTCATTGATATTTTCAGGTAAAAAGCAAAAATTGAATCCTGCTCAACAAGCTAAGGTGCAACTGCTGGCGGAGCAACTCGGAGAATTGACTACACTCATGAACCATACCGCTAAAGTAAGCATTTTCATTACCATTTTATATTTTACCCTTGAGGGGTGAAATTTCCACGGCCATCGCGTGTGCTCCCTCGCTCCTTTGTACATCATAGTTCCTTGATTCCTTTAATAAATTTATCTTGTTAAAATCTATTAGCCGTATCCTTTTACCGACTTCCTAACTTCTACAGAAAGTTTTTCTAGACAACGATTGGTCATTTAAACAACTTCGGGGGACAATATCTACACTACGGGTACGGGTATTACGGGTTATCGTCTGCGGTATTTCCGGACCGATACGACCTTCAAACCTTCAAGAAAAGAGCGTACTCCTTCATGGGCGGCGATAGTCACTTTCCATCAGGTGACCTGTCTGCTCGTCTGCCCCCTCTAACATGAAAAAAAAAAAACTACAATTATCAAAATACGGCTCTCTTCTAAATCTCGTAAACATTTATTTAGTCCGTCTGAGGTGTGATGTCTAATTAAAAAAATACGTTTGCAGGAGTTGGAAGGGGCAGAGAAGAAGCTGATGGATTGGAGCCGGCGCCTGCAGCAGTGCGAGAGGCAGCTCAACGAGGCGCGCGCGATGCAGGGCCCCGCCGACAAGCCGCCAGCCTCTGCGCAGGTACAGGGTGTTCCAAAACGTGGGATCCAATTTTAAAAGCCCCCGTGACTAATTCAAAATACTTTTACTCTTCGAATAATGCTTTTCCTATGGTCTAGTGATGAATCAATCAAGTCCCGTACCTTGACCAATCAGATTCCAAGCTTTCGTACGAAACGATATTTTCTTAAAACCTGATTGGTATATAGAAAGTTGTATTGCATAATAGTGTAACATATTTAGGCATAGTTTGTAAATATGTAATTTAGTTATAAGAAAATTTTGTCTAAGCTTAATGTGTAGTATAAATATTGTTTAAATAAAAAAATCGTAGTGACATAATTAATTACCCCAAGAAAAATCTATATATATAAAAGAAAGTCGTGTTAGTTACACTATTTATAACTCAAGAACGGCTTTACCGATCTGGCTGAAAATTGTTGGGGAGGTAGCTTAGAACCAGGAGACGGACATAGGATACTATTTATTCCGTTCGACAGTGTTTTTTTTTTTTTTTGTTTTTTACGAACTTTGCTTTACTCGGAGATGCCACGTTATTATACTTGGAATGCTTCGAATTTTCAAAGACGGAAGCAAGGCGATGCGGTTCCTGGGTATCCGGATGTGCGTTCTACTGATGGTCGTATGTATACAGTTGTTGCTGGTAAATGTGCATGGGCCAACGTCAGTTGAGACACTACGGACTGTTAATGGTGTAATATTTCTCTGAGCAATTGCTGACTATCGGTAATGGTCAAATTCCAAATAATTTCTGTAATTTTGTCTCATCAAAAGAAGAAATTATCAACAATGTATTTAAAGACATTATTTCTAACTACAAAAATAATAAATGGTTGAGTGAGCGAGCAATTTTAGCGGCTAAGAATAAAGATGTAGACGACCTGAACTATATAATTCAAAATAAGATCATTGAAACAATGCATTCATTCAAATCTATTGACTGCGTCACAAATGAAGATGAAGCCACCAACTATCCAATTGAATTTTTAAACTCCTTGGATGTGCCTGGCTTACCACCGCACAATTTACGCCTAAAGGTTGGCTCCGTAGTAATCATGCTTCGAAACATAAACCAACCAAAACTGTGCAACGGTACGCGTTTGGTGGTTAGAAAATTGATGAACAATGTAATTTAGCGACGATATTGGAAGGAAAATTCAAAGGTGAGGAAGTTCTCATTCCGAGGATCCCGATGATCCCAACCGATTTGCCGTTTGAATTTAAAAGACTGCAATTTCCGATATGTCTTGCATTTTTCATGATCAACAAATCACAAGGCCAATCCTTAAAAGTTTGTGGTTTGAATCTAGAAAATCCATGTTTTTCCCATGGTCAATTATATGTGGCATGTTCACGGGTCGGAAGACCATCTGCGTTGTTTGTTTTTGCGCCTGATAAGAAAACAAAAAATATCGTGTATCACAAGGTACTTAAGTGAAGAGCAACCTATGTACTGAAATGCAGAAACAATAATAAATGATTAATGTACTTAATTCTTTTTTCTAAGAAAAAAATTAACTTACTAAATTCGAAAATCGGCTTATTTATTGCCTTTAAGGCGGAACAGAGTTCGCCGGGTCAGCTAGTAAATAGATAAATAAGTAATAGAATGAAGACTGAAAGAAAGAATAAGTATGAGGAATGTAAGTACAAGATGAATGATTTTTAGTTAAAAAAGGCTCCAAATAAATATTGGAGCTACTAGAAGGCAATAACACCCAGCGATGGCGGGTGCCTTAAAAGAAAAACCTGATTGGTCAGGACGTGTTCGATGCGTCACTATTTTCATAACGCGAATGCAGTATAAGTACATATTTATAATGATATTAAAATACAATTGTATAGTGGTAATAGTTGGTTATTTGTCAACCGTTTTAAAAATAGGATCTTTTCAATTTGGTTTCACAATTCCATGATTTATGAACCAATTCGGCTACTTTCTTTGTTTTTTCTTTTCAAATATTTGATTGATATTTAAGATCAAGAAAAATCACTACCCCTCAGGCTGGAAATAAAACAATACCTAATTCAATACTGTATTTGATTATATTTATTGAAAGATAAATAATTATTTATATATATTTTTTCTACTTCCAACGCTTGTTTTCCTCCTATTTGCAAGAAAAAACTAATATTAATGAACTAAATAACATGTAACAGCCGGAGCCAGCCCTCACCCAACAAGAATTGCAAGAACACAAACAAAAGTTTCAAAGAGCTCAAATGATATTAGAACAGCAGATGACAGAGAAACAACGGCTCAACTATCAGCGGCAGGTACAATTGATGGAGATTGAGAAGGCGAAGTTTGAAAAGAAGAATGCAATATATCGTAAGTAAACTTTATAATATATCACACATCACATTAACAGCCTTTAATAGTCCACTGCTGGACAGAGGCGTCTCCTTAGAAAGGAGGTTGTTGATAATGTCTTTCGGGGTCAGCTCTTCACTAATCTTATCAACATAGTCAAACATTTTTAAATGTTTGCCTATGATATACGTCTGTCTAATTCCAAACCAGGCAGAGCCTGTACAATGGAAACCAGACGGATGATTAACATACTTAAATATTTGTCAACATATATATTATAAATAAATAATACCCAAACAGAACAAACGATGGGGTTGTAATGTATGTGTGGTTCATCGAGTGGGAATCGAACCCTCGAATCGGCCTTCGGCTTAGTGGTCAGGGTCACTAACCACTAGACGGGTCGGTTAATTCTCGCTACCATATCGAGTATCTATTTGAAGCTTAACCAATATCGGCTTTCATGTTCGTCTGTTTTGTCCAGAAATGACTTCGGGCGGCAAAATGGTGTGCGTGCGTCGCTCAGCGGCCGAGGCGGCGCTCACCATGAGCGTGGCCGAGCGCGCGCCCCCGCCCCCGCCGCCGCACCCGCACCCGCTCGCCAACACAGGTACCGCACACACACACATAACGAGATATAGTTCAGCGGCCGAGGCGGCGCTCACCATGAGCGTGGCCGAGCGCGCGCCCCCGCCCCCGCCGCCGCACCCGCACCCGCTCGCCAACACAGGTACCGCACACACACACATAACGAGATATAGTTCAGCGGCCGAGGCGGCGCTCACCATGAGCGTGGCCGAGCGCGCGCCCCCGCCCCCGCCGCCGCACCCGCACCCGCTCGCCAACACAGGTACCGCACACACACACATAACGAGATATAGTTCAGCGGCCGAGGCGGCGCTCACCATGAGCGTGGCCGAGCGCGCGCCCCCGCCCCCGCCGCCGCACCCGCACCCGCTCGCCAACACAGGTACCGCACACACACACATAACGAGATATAGTTCTGAGCGCCTAGTGCCAGTTTATTTCATATCGGCGTTGCGATTGGTGAAGATTTGACTGTGAGCTAATCGCAGCGCCGAAAGCGGTCACTCTAACGATCGTGTAGATGTGAAATAAACTCGCACCTGGGCCCCTGTTCAACACTAAGAAAGGAAATTAAAGAATTAAGAATAAGAATTATCAAAATATACAGTATAAACGACGTAACTAATACTGAAATAGTGTATTCACGCTATCATTAGAATTTTCAGTCGAAAATGCATTTTTTTATAATTTTTTGGGTAAAAATGAGGAAAAATTAAATCAAAAAAATTAAACAGAACATTTTACCGAAAAGAATATAATAAATACCACATACAGTCAAAAATTGCAATTAACCAAACAGCCAAAGCGCGCGGGGCCTCCCCTCTTTAGACTGTTTGCACGGAATACCGGACTGCAGTTATGACTTTTGTGCGATACCTACGTAGAATAACCAACCTTTGACAGCTGATTGAATAAAACGTTAAATTTGCCGGCAGAAAATTCCAATCATTTTCAACTCAAAATGAAGGTCTGAATACACTATTTCAGTATTCGTTACGAAGTCCCTTACACCCTGTATACCGTTTTTAAAAGTTAATTATACCAGAAACCTGATAATATTAAAAATACAGCATTACTATAATGCTACTTGTCATATTCAGAATATATGTCAGTGAGTGATGAATAGAAAGAAATGTTTGCCTCCCCACCAGCGCTGGAGCAGGACGGCGGCTCCAAGGGCGCTGACAACCGCAAGCTGACCTGGGAGCAGGCCCTCGCACACATGAACCAGCTCGCCAAGGGAGCCAACAAGGATAAGGTGAGATCAGTCACAAATATACATACACTAGCGGCTCCGACAGACGTTGTCCTAAACACACGTCTTACAAAAAAAAAACATTTTGCAGTGGACCGAATTATGAATCTAAACCGTTCTCGAATCTACTTAAACACACAAAGAATTTCGTTAAAATCGGTGCAGCCGTTTAGGAGTTTATTCACATACACACAGAAGAATTTATACAAATAAATAAATTTGAAGTGTCTGCTTGTAATGTCAAAATAATAGGTTTTTTCATGCTCACACGGTTATTTGCACGATACCAATGCCTAATAAACCAGTTTAAATAAATTTTGTCTGTCTGTCCGTCAGGTTGTGCAGATAATTTTCAAAACTGCTTGACCCATTTTGTTAACATTTTACTACCAGTTAGCTGTAACTTAACCATCAGATCTGCTTGTTTGCCTCATTAATGGGGTTGATAAAAAGTTCTAAATTATGTTTTCAGAAGAAACCTAAAGAAACGAAAGCGGAACAGAAGTTGAAGAAAGAGCCGCAGAGGTCCAACTCTCTGCCAGAGACACAGTCGCTATCTAAGAAACAGAGAAAGCAAATGGCTAAACAACAGGTATAATAAAAAATATTTCGGACATTTATCACATCATCCAGCCTTTAACAGTCCACTGCTGGACATAAACCTCTCATTAGAAAGAAGGTTTCGGCCTACTATACCACCTGGCCAGACGGGTTGGTATAGGGTTTGTGTCAAGTTTTCCTTCTCTATGCAGTTCTGTTGTCCTGCGTAGTTTGTTCCCTTAATCGACTCTTACGACACCCACGGGATGAATAGCGGTCTTGACATTCCGTATTCTTAATCCGTCACCACACGACATCTAACACAGCACGTCATATACATAGAAAACACCCAAACTCCGAAATAAATATTTGCAGATCATACAAACATTTGGTCCAACCCGGGAACCGAACCCGAGACCTCAGCACAGCGGTCGCACCGAGGCAGTCAAATATTAGTCCCGTCACCCCACTAGAGTTGGTCGGTGTGGATTTAAATAAACATACACTAGAATTTTTGTTCTTAGTTTAAACACAACGATATCACAGCAGTATAATCTCGCTCGAATTGATACCACCTAGCAAAGAAAAAACTTGTTTTCCTTTCAAGAAGTCAAATAAAATAATCAGCTTATTCAGTCCACTGCTGGGCATAAGCTTCTCAGCTTCTTAAAGAGTTCCCAGATTCCTTCGAGTTTCGGCATAGTGTGGCATATCATATGGTTTACATCGGTTCAATTCCGACAGACAACTACTAAAAATCCCAATTTTTTTTTATTTTTTTTTAAGTCAACTCCCGCATTAGGAATAAATCCTGTGTCGCGAGGGAATTTTACAAACATACAAGAAACTGACACAAAGAACACCCAGACTCAGAACAACAATTTGTGGATCACACACAGTGTCGTCCCATGTGGGGTTTGAACCCATAACACTCGGCGTAGTAGGAAGCGGCGTGGCGACCGCTTCAACCACTACGCCATCCGTGCAGTCAAATTGCAAATGATGTTGAAAATTGCAGATGATGTTGATGATGTTTAGTGATCCTGGCTGCTGAGCCAATTGTTGTGGGTTCGCTTCCTACCCACAACAAATCATTGAGTGATAAGCACGGTCATTTGTTCTGTGTCTGGGTGTAATTTATCTATAATATGTATGTATTTAGAAATATATAAGTATGTTTATCAGACTGACGTTTGTGATATGTGCCAAGTTCTTATTATAATTACTTAATTAGTGTAATCTCTACTATTTTAGGCTGAAGAAGAAGAAAAGAGAAGACAGCAGGCCGAGGCGAAGAACAAGAAGACTGAAGCTAAAAAGCCTGTAGAACCGAAACCCGAAGTTAAAGTAAAGAATGAAAAGAAACCGGAGCAAACAAAGAAACCCGAGCCTGTTGTTAAGAAGAAAGAGGACAAGAAAGAGAAGACCTTAGAAAAGAAAAACGAGAAGAAAGGCAAAGAAAATAAACAAGAGAAGACTGGTAAGTTGATTTTTTTTTAAATAATTTAATGGATAAATAAGCAGACGGGTCACCTAAAACGCCGTGTTTATTTCACATCAACTCACTCTCGACAGCGAGCGGCGATTGGTTAAGATTTGTGTGCGGGCCAATCGCAGCGCCGAACGTGCGTCCAGTAGATGTGAAAATAAATTCGCACTTGGTCCTCTGATGAAGAGTGACTACCGCCGCCATTGGAGACTCGAGAGTCACCGAGAGCGCCACCTTCCCTCTTGTATATGAGGAGGGGGGGAAGGGTCCAGTGACCTCATTTATTCGATAAAATGCAACGTAAGCATGAGGTCTTCTGTGAGGCCGTGGTACCACTCTGAAGGCCAATTCTCGTAATAAAAGATAGATCACAATTCAGTTCCCAGCGACTCTGGATCTCGCAACTGTCATAAAAGGTATTTTCGTAGTAAAATAGTAAAGTATTACTAAGACTAGCAGAGAGAAGGAAAACTTGGCACAAACCCTATACCAACCCGTCTGGCCAGCGTGGTATAGTAGGCCAAAACCTCCTTCCCAAGGAGAGGCCTATGTCCAGCAGTGGACTAGTAAAGGCTGTTGATGATGACTAAGACTAGCAGAAGTGAGATCGAAAGTTGATCGAAACTGAATTGTGAACGAACTTTTATTACGAGAATTGACCTTCTGGTCAAGCCGGCCCATATATGTTCGGCAAATGGTTATTCTTCATTGAAAATGTGTTAAAAAGAATGAATAGTCACCTACTTATAGTTAAACCGCCGTAAGCTTGGCCCTCCTGATGGTTTGCGGGACGCGGGGCGGGTGATGCGCTCGGCTATACATGACACTATGTACTAACTCGATATCTTCAGATTTATTTGTTTGAGATTTAATCTACACACGATGTAATAAAAATCGAATTTATTTCCATGTATTATAATGTCAGTGTATTGTAAGTTATTATGATTAATTGTAAAATTTAATACTGTAAAATAATTTTAATAAAATCACCTTATCTTCATCATGTAAATTTGATTCAGATACAATTAAAAAATTAAGTAAAATAATAAATATTCTTTATTAGAACTTTAACAGTAGAACCTCTGTAAGCCGAACTTTGAGTTTTTAAATCTTTTTGTGACGCAGAGTCGGCAGATTATACATGTTGCAAAATAATACCGTGTGTACAATGCTTTCGCGTCAGTCACTGCCGGCGGACAGCGACGCACTAGCTAATTGGTTGAATGCACCCCCGCCCCGCGTCCCCCAAACCATCAGGAGGGCCAAGCTTACGGCGGTTTAACTATAATGTATCCAATCCATCCAATATGTCAATCGAGCTGTCACTTGGTGTCAAACTTATATCATACAAAGCTCATATTGGGAGTTTTTAGATTATAGGTTAGTGACGTCATCAAATGCTATGAAAAGTTTTAAAAGTAAGATTATTTTGTCTCCATTTTTTTTGTAGACCGTTTGATCCCAAACTAGACAGAGCCTGTACCATGGTAACCAGACTGCTGATAAAATATAGAATATAGATGTCCTAGATATTATTATTCATCAATCATCATCAACAGCCTATAACAGTCCACTGCTGGACATTGGCCTCTCCTTAGAAATACTTAATATTAAATATACTTATATATTTCCAAAATACATACATATTATAGGTGACTTACACCTAGACACAACAAATGTTCGTGCTCATCACACACTTATTTGTCCTGGGTTCGAATTGAACCCACAAACTTTAGCTTAGCAATCAGTAGTACCTACTAAACCAACAGGCCCGTCAAAACTTAATTATGACGTAATGATGTATTAGAGACTTATACGTTGTTAAATTAAATTAAAGACAAAATAAATGTATCAATAACATTAATATTCACTGAAAATATTTCCACTCAATACATTGCAGCACCAGCACCACAACAAACCAGCAAACAAACACAGCAACAGAACAACAAGAAGGAAAATAAGAAGCAACAGCAACAACAACAACAACAGCAGCAGCAACAACAACAACAACAGAAGCCCCAAGTCATTAACATTACACCGGACACCACAATTGAAGTTGTTAGTAAAAAGGTAATATTTTGTAGCATGACAATTATTATGTATCATCAACAGTCTTTAATTATCCACTGCTGGACATAGGCCTCTCCTTAGAAACGAGGTTTTGACCTACAATACTACTCTGGCCAGACGGGTTGGTATACCAACCCGTCTGGCCTATAGGGTTTACCTACAAACCCTATAGGGTTTGTATCAAGGATTCGGTTGAGTAGTTAAGAATAATCATTTGTATTGATCTCCAGAATCCATGCACCACGGAGCCAGACAAGCCAGCGTCTTGCAGCATTATGGAACAGCTCAGCTGTGGGGTTCAGGTACGGTAGCAATGTTGTATGATTTTTAAAATTAGAAAGGGGCAGTTGATCCTTCGGTTACCGCAATCATTCGGTGGAATATATCCTGTGTCGCGGGGGACTTTACAAATATACATGAAACGGACACAAAAGACATCTATACTCAGAACAACAATTTGTGGATCACACAAAGTGTCGTCGCATGTGTGGATCGAACCCACAACACTACACTACACTACATTTCCTACACTCATGTGTGTAGTGTAGTATTTATATATATGTGTTTGTATATGTGTGTGTATGAATGTGTATATATATGTGTATAGTTTGTATTTGCTTGTGTATAAAATTACGTGTGTTGTATCGTGTAGTGTATTTCTTAGTGATTAGTTTTATAACCTATATGCGCCTACCACTCACGATTTCTACACTACCTAAAGGTTGACTGGGAGAGAATGCCTTGGGCCCTCTCCTTAGAAAGGAGGTATAGACTATAGACATACGACTATATATTTAAATGTAATTATTATTTCCAGGTGGCTGATTTGAAACTACCACCGGGAATTACTCTCACACGCGTCCAGCCCAACGAGAAGAAAGAACCACCTCCGATCAAATCTGTGGTATGTGTTTGGATCACACTTTCTACCTAGAGAGAACAGGAGCCCCAATCTTGCAATATAGGCAACAAGAGAGATGTACTTAGTCCTGTCTATCTCTTTCTAGCCGAGCTCTGTGGTTGGCTGGGGAATATGAGAGGTTACTAAATAGCCAATCGCAACAGAGAGCTAAACAGAGACAGAACGAAATATCAGGCATTCACCTCTCTCGTTGCCTGTAGCGGTTCCACTTACAGGCACCTGCACCCCGTGTTCTCTCTATGGTTATATCTCTATGGATGAACTTTATTTTATACTAGCTGAGACCTGCGGTGTTACCCGCGTTTGTTGTTATAACCGCGGGCAACGCTCGGGGCGAAGCTAGTCTATAAAAAGTAGCCTAAGTTACTCCTTATGTCATCAGCTATCTGCCAGTGAAAGTCCCGTCGAAATCGGTCCAGCCGTTCCAGAGATTACCCGGAACAAACAGACAGACAGACAAAAATTGTAAAAAATGTTATTTTGGCATATGTACAGTGTAAACACACATATGCATTTAGTAAAAAGCGCTTATTTTAATATTACAAACAGACACTCCAATTTTATTTATTTGTATAGATTTTTATATTTTAGGAAATCTTACAGCTAGAGGTACAATTAATATAAGACTAATAGGTGAGGACCAATTAAAAGTTTTCACTGCTAGAACAGAAAAAGACAACTCTGAACCTGAACGAACGAAACGAAAATAGAAAAGTAGACATAGGTATTATTATATATGTAATTTGTTTGTTATGCTTGGTCGAAGAAAACGTTGCCCAGTTGTTTTTTAGGGTTCCGTACCTCAAAAGGTAAAAAAGGAACCCTTATAAGATCACTTTCTTGTCCGTCTATACCTCTGTCCGTCTGTCCGTGTGTCTCCACCGATTTTCTCAGGAACAAGTAGACCTAGCAAGTTGAAATTTATACCAAATACTGAGGTCTATGGTCCCTATTAGGTGTATAAAAATCAAGGTCCTGGGTCAACACGATAAAAAGATATGGGCAAATTTCGATTTTTGCGAAAACTTGTAAGTACCAAAATTTACTTTAATTTTCAACTTTTTTTTATTTTTCAAATTTTTTGTTTGAAATTTAAGATAAATTTTGGTACTTACAAATTTTCGCGAAAATCTCCTTAAAATCTGGATAGGTACGGAACCCTCGGCGCACGAATTCGACTCGTGCCTGACCGGTTTTTTAATTTGGTGACACTAGTAGAGAAAATATCGATATCAACACTCCGGCATGCCGCATTGTACATGCTACTCGCTCTGATCAGGTATGAGTTTGGCCTGTAGTTTCTACAACGGGAACATGCAACAAGTTAAATTGTCATCTTGAAATTCTTGAATTATAGCAAACTAGGCAGAGCTACAATATGGTAACCCGACCACTGATAAACATACTTATATATTTCTAAACACACATATAATTCTATGTATCGAACGTATTTTTTCAATGTTTTATATATTTGAAAGATGTTTAAAAACAAACTAATGTCAATATTCCAGCCCTTGTGGAAGTGCAACCAGCTGCCGGCCACCCCAACCCCCGTGCCGAGACCAGCACCTGTCATCAACGCAGACCCCTCCATGATGATGTTCACCACCTCACAACCTGGTAAATAGAATAATAATATTGTTACATGTTATGGTTCGTTATTTGGAATTTACCTTGTGCCGTATTATCAGACTTTATTGGAACTAAGTTTTTTGAACTAAGTTGAACTAAGATGGGAGTAAGACCGAAAAATCTGTAACAAGACTTTTTATTTGCTATAGATAGTTGTTATTATCCTAAATATCCCGGATCATTCAGTGTTTAATTTATCACTATTTATTTTAAACATAATAAATTTATTTAATCATAAATTTTTCAATTTACCTCTAGTAATTAAAAAATTATAATGACTGTTTACCAAACGTCTGGTACCGTGTCGTGACGTATTAATAATACAGAGAGTCATAACCCCTATTCATCCCGTGGGTGTCGTAAGAGCCGACTAAGGGAGCAAACTACGCAGAACAACAGCACTGCAGAGAGAAGGAAAACTTGACACAAACCCTATACCAACCCGTCTGGCCAGCGTTGTATAGTAAGCCAAAACCTCCTTTCTAAGAAGAGGCTTATGTCCAGCAGTGGACTATTAAAGGCTGCTGATGACCAAACGTCTACCAAAAAAGCGAAAGGAACTTCGTTCCGATTGTGGGTCAATCTCTCGCAGTTTTCACCAACACATTTAAATAAGGCCAATCAATATTTATAGTAGAAAATGATTGCCCAGGTGCTCCGTTACTCTGTTCGCTTAGATCACTTCGAGGTTTATCTCATTGTAACTCAAATTGAACTGTCTGGACCGGTGAAGATGAGCCAGTATTTATATTCACTCAGTACACCAAGACGCATCTAGAAAGGTTTCAGTTTGTTTGTTTGTTTTGATAAGATCATCTAAATCGGTTCAGCGGGTAATTGATTCCACATTCAAAATTCCACCTTTTTTTTCACATGATTTCTGGGATAAAAACTATCTTATGTCCTTTACCGGGACTCAAACTATCTCTATACTAAGTTTCATCTAAATCAGTCAAGCGGTTTAAACATAAAGAGGTGTAACGGACAGACAGACACACTTTCGCATTTATAATATTAGTATAGATTTGGTTTTACTGACTTTACAAAAGTGGAAGAATCTCTCGAAGTTTTTTATGTTTGATACCTCTGAATATCACCATGACTAGTACTTGAAAGATTGTTTGTCTAAGACATTGTTGGTAATAAATGAATCATATTACTTTTTTACAGAACCCCCACCAAAACCAGCACCAATCATTGAACCACAAGTCCAAACTGTGGGCAAATCGAAGAAAGCCAAGAAGAAGGCCAAGAAAGCAGCTGCTGCAGCTGAAAACGCCGAACTCAAGCCTGAAGGCGCTAAGATGGTCACCTTACGTAACCCCATGTTTCACCCTAACCTGCCACCGGTCCAGATAACCAGCAAACCACCTACACAGAAGAAACAAGAACAGATTAGAATACCAGACCCAATACCAATGCCACCGAATGCTTGCCAGGCAACCATCACTCCGACATCGAATGGGATGTATACTATTAGAAACCCGCTAATGACTATGATGCACCAACAGAACATGATGGGTGGTGGGGTTAGAAACCAGAGCCCTCAACTTAACCCTATCTATGGTCAACAGTTCAACTATGTTAACCCAAATGTATACACACCGGTTCCTAATCAGAACCAATATGTCATGGAAACCAGAAATTCTCCAAAACAGGATGATTTCCAAAGTAGAATATTGAATTTAGCTTCTTTCACACAGAAGAATGATGAAGGTTACTCTCTCTTCAAAACTTCTGATGATAACCAGCAGAAGAACTTCCTCAGTCCAGAGTATTATGAGAATCAGAGCCCAAAGTCAGTAGTGTCACCGAACCCTATTGGCACAAGACCAGCTGATGTCAGACAATTTGATTCAAACGACTCCTCGCTGTTTGCAAACCCTATACAACGTCCAGAACCTATTGGGACTCCGCTAAAGAAGGAGGAAGAACGGACCGAGTACACCGGTCTTTATACTCCGTTTGGGCAGGAAGACAGAAATGTCTTCCGGAACGCATTGTTTAGTGATAAAAGTGATCATCAAAGTGTTAAGTGTGATGATTTAGGTGTAAACCCCATGCCTAATGGTGATTCCTTACCATACTTTCAACGGTTAAGGGTTGGTTCTAAGTTAAATAGTGAAGTTACCATTCATCATGTAACGGAGAGTAAATTTTACAAGACACAGGTATGTACCCTACTTGGATATATTATATTATAGAAAACAATTAAGTTACGTCACGCTCATAAAGTGAAAGTTTGTAGGTGTGTGCGTTTCCCACTGTCCACTAAAATCCATTGACAAGATTCACCTTTAATACACTCAACAGATTTTTACTAATTTTTCGAAATAAGCAAATCCTGAAAGACCCGTTATCTTTGAAAAGAAGATCTGTTATCTTAATTTAATTGACAGTACATAAAATATAAATTTATGAGAAAAAACAAAATGCTCATAATTTTGTTTTCTTTTTTTACATCAATTTATTTTTTTTTTTTTCCTATTTTTTTTTAATTACGACATCTTTTTCTCGCAACTATTAAATTAATATTAGTACATACTACTTTCACGTATTTCTGTTTAACGCCAGCTTAACTAGTAAAAGGAATTTTTCGAAACCTGATCCTTTTGATCCTTGATCCATTTCTTGTAATAATCTGTTGATTGTATTAAAGTGGCTTTTGTATGTTTATTACTTCTACACGCTCAAACGGCCTTTGTTTTATTTTAATTGACGTTAAATATTTGACAGCTATGTACACAGGTGTTGTATATTACTTATTTAATCTACCAGCCGAATTGGTCGAGCCGTTCTCGAGTTTTGCGATTAGAAACATTATTACTATTTGTCTCGTAATTTTCACATTTTTTCTGTCCATTAGATCCTTCTTACTGCCATATGGCAAAAATTAAATTGCCTAATTAATAGAGCCGTTCTCAAGTTTTGTATATTTTTATTTACATAAATTCACCTGAAAAGAGGAAATCATAGCAATTTTTTTTTGCTCAGGAGCCGGGCCACCCTGCAGATCTTCAGCCGGACGAATCGCTGTTCACCAGACATCCACACCACCCATGGCCCGAACAACCCGTGTACGGCCCACCGCCAACTAACCATAAAACTGGTATGTATTTATGTATGTATCAAACCATCTTTATCATATTCTTCCTCTTTTTACAAATTTTTATTCAAGGTTTTGGTAAAGTGTAACATTGCATTGTGTTTTGGGGGGTTTTCTATACAATTCCTCCCCCCTCCTTTTTACAAGTGGGATAAAAATCAGGTTAAGGTGAAGGGATACTGCTACAGAGTTAAGGAAAGAGAAATTAAAAAATCTTGGATGGAAGACGAGGCTAAGACTGCAGTAACGTAAAGACTGAGGATTGATTAATTACACATATGGTTGACCTAGGCTTGCAGAAGCCAGGACTAGGACAGGGATATCAACTTGGCTACCAATTATTGTACCATGTTACGAAACTAGGCTAGCATAATTTTCTACAGCCACTTCAACTGTTGGTCTGGTAGTTAATGAGCCAGAAGTTGTGGGTTCGATTCCCACCTAGGACAAATAATAGTGTGTTGAGCAGCATTATTTATTTTATCTGAGTGTGATTTAACTTATCATTTAAATTTAGGTATGTTTATCAGCAGTCTGGTTACTTAACGTTTGCCTCATGATGCTATTAGCCCCACATCGAGGGCAATGGAACAGATTACTAGATAACTCAGATAGAAGCGATTTGGTGGTGGGTCACTGTAGCTTGTATTGGTTCCAATAAAATACAAAAAATTCACAGTCCCTGTCTAGTTTAAGATCAGACTGCCGTGTGTGAGAAGTGTTAGGTTTTGACGGGCCTGTTGGTCTAGTGGTTAGTGCCCTGACTGCTAAGTCGGAGACCGTGGGTTCGATTCCCTCCCAGGAAAAATATTGTGTGATGAGCATGACCATTTGTTCTGTGTCTGGGGTTAATTTATTTATTATATGTATGTTTATCAGCAGTCTGGTCACCATTGCACAGGCTCTGCCTAGTTTGGGATCAGACAGCAGTGTGTAAGATGTGTGAAGTATATTATTATTATTATTATATTTAAAAAAAGCATCAGTCTTAAGTAAACTCAGTCTTTTTATTTAATAAAAAAATTAAAATGGTTTTAAATCGTATTTTATGTAGACTCTTAAGTCATAGATCAACACACACAAAAGCAACAATCTCTGTTTTGTCAAATAGTAAGCAAATAAATTTAATAGAAATTAAACTTATACAAAATCTATGATATGCCTGTGTCTATCTACAACAGGCCATTGCCAAGGAGTTAAGCCTTATGCGAAGAAAGGGCAAACAAACACATGGCCACTCTTTTGCAATTCACAGTATCAACAGCCTTTAATAGTCCACTGCTGGACATAAGCCTCTCCTTTGGTTTTGGCCTACTATACCACGCTGGCCAGACGGGTTGGTCTAGGGTTTGTGTCAAGTTTTCCTTCTCTTGTGTGTTGCCTTGCTTAGTTGGCGCCCTGAGTTGGCTCTTAGGACACCCACGGGATGAATAGGGGTGGTAACACTCCGTATTCTTAATCCGTCACCATACAGACATCACGGGATGAATAAGGATGGTGACACAGGTATATTGTAGCCATATTTAACCATCTTGAAAGGTAGTAGGCAGGGTACGTTAAAAGGGAAGGTGGTAGTGGTAAAGGGATATTGCTTATATACTGGTGATGGTTTGGGGAGTGGAGATGCAATAGCAGGAGCAGGTCATGGCTTTGTTGTAACCCGAACTGGCTATTCCTGGAAAGTACGAGACATAACTCTACGTAAAGAAGAGATTTTCTTCTGCGTGATTAGTATTTCCGTCTCACGTGACTCCGTTCCAGGTAACACCCCCCCCCCCCTCCCCTAACTACCCTCTCCCCCCAAAATTAAGGACGACCCGAGTCCTCACTCCTCACAGTTGAAAAGCAACAAGAGAATTTTTATGTTAGAGGGGGCAGATGGGTCACCTGATGGAAAGTGACCATCACCGCCCATGAACAAAAGATTTTTTTTAAATTTCATTTCTTTAGAAAGGTGGCTTTCTTAGAAAGGATTCGTAGGTTTAAAATTAAATATTTCCCCTGAATATCTTAAAGTACAACCTGAATTGTCCTTCATTATAAATTTAATGTTTTATTGATTTGATATCTTCAAATGAACGTTCAATATAAATGATTTGAAAATAGTTTGGTATGACGTCACGACATTCGTCGAGCCTGTTGATCTAGTGGTTAGTGACCTGAGCTGTCTAAGCCGGGGGTCGTGGGTTTGATTCCCACCCATGACAAATATTGTGTGATGAGCACGATCATTTGTTCTGTGTTTGGGTGTAATTTATCTATAATATGTATGTATTTAGAAATATATAAGTATGTTTATCAGCAGTCTGGTTACCATAGCACAGGCTCTGTCTAGTTTGGGATCAGACGGCCGTGTGTGAGATGTGTGAGGTTCTTATTATTACACTATTTCATACAAAAATGTACTGCGTCTATCGTTTTGACATTTAATAGAAAGATACCGATTTGACTTAACTGTATATAATTATTCTATCAGTCGATCTAGCTTTCATAGTTCAAGCTCTGCTTAGTTTGAAACTAGATGGCGTTGGTGTTACATAAACGAAGTAAAAAAAAAACGTAATTATCTTTAAATTAATACTAATATTTAAGCTGAAGTGTGTTTTTTGGATAGCGTTATTCAAATTGAAAAAATCGTTTTAATGTTGGATAGCTCATGTAGCGAGGAAGGCTGTGGGCTAAGCGGCGGTAGCCTACTGGTTAAGGCATTGGACTTGCGATCAGGAGGTCGTGGGTTCACATCCTGACCAGAACACTACAGACGTGAACCCACTTCTAACACAAGCAATTTAGCTTAGCAGGAGGGTTTAACGGGAATACTAGTAATGTCAGTTGCTAGTAGACCTTTAATAATAAAAAAAAATCTTATATATAAAATTCTCGTGTCACAATGTTAGTTACCATACTCCTCCGAAACGTCTTGACCGATTTTTAAATGAAATTTTGTGTGCATATCAGGTAGGTCTGAGAATCGGCCAACATCTATTTTTCATACTCCTAATTATTATTTTTTGGACAATTTCTTTGAAATAATGTATATGGCAAAACAACGTTTGCCCGGTCAGCTAGTATATTATATATATATGACCAATAGGAGTCGGGCATCAGTGAAAAATGTTGCAAAAATGGGGTACTTTATGCCTTTGAGACACACAGAGATGAAATTTCCCGCTAAATTTAATATTTATTTTTAAAATAGAAATGGTAACAATAATATACAATATTTAGCCAATTGACTGATGAGTGCACAGATGGCGTAGTGGTTTAACGTATGAATGCTGCTTCGGTGACGCAGTGGTAGCGTATGCGACTGCTGTTCTGAGGTCTCGGGTTCGATCCCCGGGTCGGACCCGAGACCCGAGAATGTTTGTATGCTCTGCAAATATTTGTTTCGGAGTTTGGGTGTTTTCTATGTATAATATGTATGTATTTACGTAAAAAAAGTATAAATGTGTTCTATCAGTCGATCTAGCTTTCATAGTACAAGCTCTCAAAACTTGTACTATGAAAGCTAGATTAGCTGCTTAAAGCTGCTTAGTTTGAGACTAGGTGGCGTTGTGTGTTAGTTGTCCGAAATATTATGAGTACTACGCTGAGTGTTGTGGGTTCGGTCCCCACATGGGACGAAACTTTGTGTCCCATTTGAAATCCACAAATTGTTGTTCTGAGTCTGGGCGTTATTTTTGTCCGTTGCGTGTATATTTGTAAAGCCTTGTTGTGAGTTGTCTTTAAGAAAATAAAATAAAGGTCTTCTCAAATAAGTACAATTTTATACAATTTCGTGCGGCCAATGTAGGTGTTGTCATGTGTTATCATTTGATTACAAAAAAGGAGAAAATAAATCTCGGCCTAGCTACCGTCGTACTATTGATATATAAATCATTTGGGACCCTTCCAGGTAGGGTAACTATATCCGAGCTAGTGTAATCCGCGCGTGTTTATCACCAGGTGGACAGTCAGGCCGCAGTTCCCCCACGAGCTCGTCGGTGCGGTCGAGCGCCAGCGTTAGCGGGGGCGCCTCGCCCCCCGGTCCCGGCCCCACCGACGAGCCGCGCTTTGGTCCCGTGGGGGCGCGCGTGCCTCGACCCCCACAATACACTGGTATGGCGTAGTGGTAGTAACCCACACACCATACACACCACACATCAACAGTTTAACAGTCCATTCCTGGACATAGGCCATATAATGTCATTTTGGCCTTTTAAACCACGCTGACCAGACGGGTCGGTTTACGGTTTGTTTCAAGTTTTCCTACTCTTGGCGGTTCTCTTGCTATTCTTGTTCTTTGCTCCCTTAGTCTTACGACACCCACGGGAGGAATAGTGGTGGTGACACTCCGTATTCTTAATCCGTCACCACACGGACGAGTTTCGGTAACTTTACTCATTAGGTACAATAGAATTTAAGCATAGTTTAACACCGGTTTTTATTAATTATACCATCACACCTGTGACTGATTTACAAAACCACTGCGACTTAACTATGGCTAGCTCAAGACTCTAAGGTCTAAATCTCTAAAAAAGGAGGTCGTAATGCTCGATAAAAAGAATTTTAATTGATTTTAATGCCGTTCAACTTTGTCTATGACAAAATCACAATCACATGTGAAGTAGCTGTGACTAAATCCAATCATTTCATCAAACGAATATGATTTAAAAGTAGCAATAATTTCATTGTCTACTCTGGACGAGCCGGCCCATGTGGCGCGGGAAAATTGCGTCTATTCCAATAGCAGGTTCAAAATAATATTTTCGGACATCTGACACAGCGCTATCTAGATTCAAACTAAGCAGAGCTTGTACTATGAAAGCTAGATTACTTATATACTTTTTTTTTAGTAAAGACATACACATTAAACATAGAAAACATCCAAACTCCGAAGCATTAAGTCCTGGACCAAATAACATTAATTCCAACCTGGGAATCAAATCCGAGATCTCAGCACAGCAGTCGCATACACATTTTTTTTTACTGCATCTACCGCGTTAGGAATATATATCCAGTGTCGCACGGGATTTTACAAACATAAATGAAATGAACACATAGAACACCCAGATAACATCAATTTGGGGAGCACACAAAGAAGTGGTGTCCCATGTGGGGATCGAACTCACAACAGTAGGAAGCGGTGTGGCGACCGCTTTAACCACTACGCCATTCGTGCAGTCCTTCCCTGTACAGTCAGGTACCACCAGGCGTACCCTTCAGCTTATTTGTCAACCTATAACTGATGGTCAGACTACTAATAGACCGGTGGCTGTATTTAAAGTAGAAATATTACTTTAAACCGACTATTATAAATGACAAATGGCTATGTAACATCACGCTTTGACCCCTAGGAGTGGATTAGTAACCCTGTATTGTAAACGACACCACTGAACCACACCACTGGGATGTCGTTTACAATTTTTGAGGTGACCCAGATAAGCCTACTGTTCCATATGTAGGACGGTAGAAATAAAAAATATTTCAACTTACGCACATTTTAACATATACAGTAGGTGGCCAAATTATTAGGGACAGTATCGAAATTTTTGAATTTCCTAGTTTAATTGGATTTCTGTAATAAACGATTAGTTGTAGGTCTCTTATATATTTTTTCTTTGTATCTGTATTTTATAAGGATCACAAAAACTACAAAAAAATATACAAAACTGATTTATATTCTTCGTATGAGTATTATCAATATTGGTAAAAATAAATATATATATTTTTTTATATTTAGTGATGCCACCCTTTGCTGCAATAAGAGCTTCTATGCGTCGTTTAACATCATTTATTCAAAAAATATAATAAACTATAAATTACATAAATACGAGCACTGTCCTTAATAATTTGGCCACCTATGGTATTTAATGGATTTGTAGTGACAAGCTATTGAAATACAAATTAAAAAGGTGCAGTTATAATATATTATCCATTTTATAAATATTTCATTGAAAAATATATCTAAAAGTGCATTGCAGACATATGGGACAGTAGGCTTATCGGGGTTAAAGCAACTTCTTGAAAGTTCTGGAATAAACCCAAAATTGTCTCAGTCGCAATCTTACAAATAAACAATAATTAATATCGACAAATGCATAAGTTTCCTGTAAGGAATTCGTTACGGTGGTGTCGTTATCAAAAAAATATTGTAAACGACACTCTGTGGTGTGGTTCAGTGGTGCCATTTACCATACAGTAACAACAACAGCGGTTAAGAAACAGATTTATAATAAACTTAAACAAATGGACCACCGGACTATGAGAGAAAGTCTTAAGTCCAATTTCTGAAATAGATGGACCACAATCCCAAGTAATGACCCGTAGACCAACAAAGCAGTTGGACAACTGCCCCGTACCCCTTTTACTGCTATGTTTATTTTTGTGACATTTTACTAATGGCTGTGAATGAATGTTATTTGTAATTTATATAAATAATGTATTCTTTTATATAATAATTCCCTTTAGTCGGTTCGGTCATGTCATGCGGAGGGATTGGGCATATGTGGCGAAGAAAGTGTTAGGTATGGGAGTTGAAGGGTACAAGAGAAGAGGATATACCAAAGAAAAGGTGGATGTATGGAAGATAGGGTGGAATGGAAGAATCATATGTATTGCGCCGACTCCAAAAATTTTTTTTTGCAGATAATGAATTATGTCTTTTGGTTTGTATATGTAGTATAGCATATTATGTTTGACGACCGAATGGCGTAGTGGTTTGTGTAACGGACTGCTATTCCAAAGTTCGCTTGTTCGATTCGCGCTCAAGTCAATTTGTGTGCATGAACATTTAATGTTTGATTTGGTCTGGGTGTTTCTATGTATAATAAGTATGTATTTACAAAAAGTATATATGTCAGTATCAGTTGTCTAGTAGCCATAGCACAAGCTCTGCTTAGTTTGAGACTAGATGGCGCTGAATTAATGTGGTATAGTGGATATTATTATTATATAAGCGTTTTGGTTGTGAGACTGTGCGCTTGTAACTTTAGTTAAATAAATAAATACATATTATAGATAAGTTATACCCAGTCACAGAACAAATGATCATCCTCAACACACAAATATTTGTTGTGGGTAGGAATCGAACTTAAGACCTCTGTCTTAACTGCCAGAGTCTCTAGCCACTGGACCTAAAGACCCGTCAATAGTTAATACAACAATTGTGATTCCTTTCCAGAATCGAGCGTGTTCCTCCCAGACTCGAGCATCACTAACCTGTCATCCCTGGAGGTATCTGAACGGGAAATCGAGTCGTTCAAACGTTTCGACTTCTACTTCGAACCCCCCCAACACAAGCCGAAGGTCCAGCTCGACGTTCGCGACATCGCCAACGCACTCCGGCAAAATCACAAATAAAATGCTCACACACAAGTTGGGTAGAGATGTTTTGCAGAAATTGGGTCTGCAAGTTTGATTTTTAAAATCATCATCACTGCTGGACATAGGTTCGCCACAACAACCGGTCCTGTTCCGCATCCAACGGCTTTCCGGATCCTCACCAGATCGATTTTTTTTATGTACAACAATAATTGGATCTATAAATATGTATTTGTATGTAATACTATAGATATTTAAGTACATACCTGGCGTTTCGACCAAGTTGCACTGGCCCTGGTCACAGGCTGATTCGACCGACGGACTGAGTACGACATCACATCATCAACAGCCTTTAATAGTCCACTGCTGGACATAGGCCTCTCCTTAGAAAGGAGGTTTTGGCCTACTACACCACGGTGGCTTTGCGGCGGTGACGGGTTGGTGTCAAGTTTTCCTTCTCTTCCAGATACCATTTATTAGAAAACCATACAAGTCAATCCTTTCTCCCAACACTTATTAATAAATTTTCTTTATTAAAAACCACAAATTTCTCTAAAATTATTATTATTCGCTTTAGGATTATTCATGGGGTCAACTATCCGGCTCTATGGTATGACCCCAACTTTTTGTATAATAGTCATTTCCTACTTATTTCAAAATCTAATACTTAAATATTTTGTGTGTTTGTGTCGCACTCTTTGGAAACGGCTTGACCAATTTTAATGATTTGTTTTGTAAATTTAGTAAATATGAGAATAGGGCGTCAAGTATTTTTCACCCTACTATACTACCGCAACCCCTCCCCCCTTTTTCTCATAGTTCGATTTCTTTGATAATGTTTACCGGGTCTTCGGTTTACATCTTCAAAGAGTAGTTTTATTGCAACCCAATGGGTGAGTCTTCTATTGACGTGACGTTGTGATATCCTGGTCCTGGTTAGGCTGCCGTCCAACTCAAGAGAATATGCGTTGCCGTTCTTGGATATGCCTCTACGAGAATTAGAAAAAAACACAGCCGAATAAAGATTCTCTTCCTTTTTTAACCGACGTCAAAAAAGGAGGAAGTTCTCAATACGACTGGTTTTTTTTTAATGTTTGTTACCTCAGAACTTTTTTTTAGTAGTTATATACCTATGAATTGGTCAGCTGGGAACCTGTGATCACGGTCGAAACGTCATGCAAATGAATATGTATGTAATCTTATTGATTGCATTAATAAATATATACCATCGAAATATCGAAATAAAAAAAAACTAATATTTGTATCACTTAGTGATCAATTTGTAATACTCGCGGCCCAATTTGTAACATTAAAATTGATCAATTTGTAACATACACTGCCTGTTGTGTAACATTCACTGCCCACATTACATAGCTTTATTTGTTATTTAACAAGTCTAATGTTTCAGATAGACATGTGTTGTAATATTATGAACGGTAAAATCATGAGGAATATCAGACGCTGGCCGTCAGACTGTCTCTTACCGACGTCCAGGAGCCTGACGCGGTTTTATAAATTAATATGCCTTTGGAAATTTTGTATTTGTGTGATAGCGTGTAGCGAACTTTATGGTTTGACGAAAAGTCGTTAACAATACAATGGCTGGTCTTCTTTGCAGAAAAAATTGAATTTTAGTCAAATAATCATGTTCAATCAAATGCTGTTTGTTCTATTAGACACAAGCGGACTGTATATCGTGTCAAAATTTGAACTCTGATGAACTTGGTGATGGTTTTTGAAAGCACACACAAACCAACTTAAAACATTTATTTGTATATAAATAGAACTGTATCAATTTAATGTCTATGTGAGGTCTGCTTCTCAGATTAAAACTACTTATTGTGTTAGACGAATATTTATAAGTCCTTTTGACATTATCTGAATTGTACTTGCCCGTTGCAAAATATATGCGACGTATGAATAATTGTAAACTAGTATTTACAATACGAATTTTATATAAATACGTTATGATGTGACGTTAGACTATAGGAAAGTATAAAATTGAATTCGATTTTCGACCATATTGGACTGAAGATAAGAGCGAGTTTACACCGAACGGTATACTCGTACATGATTTCACAGAGCTTGCGCTTTATCTGTGGTTAGGATTAAAAAGAAAAAAAATGACTTGGCGAATTACCATAGGATAAAAACAAAACGTCGCCGAACATGACTCCTCAGTCAACATTGATTGAACGAAACGCGACATGGTGGGTAGATAACGTTTAGTTGTCGTTGAGACTAGTCGCGCTACCCGGACTCGCTTAGTAATTAATAATACGTGAATTATATCACTATATAACATAATAGATATGTGCTGACATTGTACCATGTAAGTGAAATACAATATTATAGAACAAACTGTTTTTTTTATTATTTGTGAAGGTTTTTAATTACGTTACCTTTTAAAATGGAAGGAGGTTTAAAAAGTGTGATTAGATTTGTTAAGGTCTCATTAGGTATACAAGATACAAAGAGGATCCATGGAGGGAGAAACGGTGGTCATGATTACCAGTGGACGGAGTGTCACTCGTATTTCAAGTAGAAAATCTGTATCTGTATCTGAAATACGCATTCTCATACATTCTCTGCCAGCCAACCCTTTTAACCATTAAATGTATGAAAGGGTTGGCTGGTAGAGAATGCCCCAGGCATTAAATCTGCTGTAGCTGCTGCTGAAAACAGTCCCCTTGCAAAGGTGCCCTGTTTTTATTTTATGTTAGAGGGGCAGACGAGCAGACGGGTCACGCGATGGAAAGTGACTATCGTCGCCCATGAACGTCTGTAACTCAGGAGTAACAAACACGTTGCCGGTCTTTTAGGAAGGAGTACGCTCTTTTCTTGAAGGTTTGAAGGTCGTATCGGTCCGGAAATACCGCAGACGATAACCCGTTCCACAGATTGTTTGTGTGGGGCAAAAATTGTCTCGAAAAGCGCACAGTAGTGGAGCGCCAACTGTCTAGATGGCAGATGAACGATGGCGGCAAGTTGCTGCTGGTATTAGTCCTACCAATTCTTTGGAGCACTTCATGATATATGCGATAGAGAATACAGCGTGAAGCCACATCTCTACGTAACGCCAAGGGATCGAGCCGATCGGAGATGTTTGGGTGTGAGTTTATTTTACATCAACTTGCTACCGACTTCGAGCGCGTTCGGTATTTTGATTCGTGAAGATTTCTGTTGAATCATGCATTCAACACGTGCTCAAGGACATCGGCAGCGAGAGAGAAAGAGAGGGGACATCGGGCACGACGAGATGCGCGCGCGCCGGCCACAAGCGCGGCACTCGGCTGATCGACGCGAATAAGACACCCGCTCGCGGTCCTTAGATACATTTCATAATTTAATATTCTTTTCCCGACAACGAGAACCCTGTACTTGACCAGTGTTTTAAATCATTATTTATACAGTCCACTCTCGTTTTATTCCGCCTTACACCAAAGAATTCATATCAACAATTTTAGGCATGGCACAATCACAATGAACTGTGATTCATCAATTGATTTTTTCGTACGTATTTAAGGGTTACTACTTAGATGCATGCATGCATAAAGACTCTATTTCGCCTATTTAACAGTTAACCTACTAATTATTTTATTATATATAGCTACAATTCCCTACATAATTATTTAAAAAATACTAGATTTACTGTCAAATAGCGTCTAACCTACCTACCTAGCAACCCTAACCTACGTACGCAAAAATCGAATGAAAAATCACAGTTCACTGTGATTTTGTCCGATGTATAAAATATACTACATTTTGCAGGGGTAAAAAGGTAAATAAATAAATGCTGATTTAATGTCCATACATCCCCATTGTCATCAAAAATTAATGTCTCCCTTTAGTACTTACGTAATACTAAAATGAGCCCCCCAACCAAAAGAGTTTACCGACCAACAAAGAGTTTATACTATGATTATGTCCCTTTCCGAAACTGTCTTCTGTGGTATTACATAGCAATAAGAATTATCTTTGAAACGGAAATAATAAAAGTACCAAGCAAATGCGCCGATCGGTTGGCAGTTGACACTGACACTTTTTAGTTTACACAGCCGTATGACGTACTAAGATAGCGGCTAAAAAGCAGATTAAAAAAACTGATACAATTTATTTTTAAATTTTATTTTATGAACAAAAATTAACATTTTTGACTTCTTTTTGCGTAAGCTATCTCAATAAAGATTTTTAGATTTTTCCCGTATAGAGTAAAACACTTCTGTCAACTACATCCCTAGCGAAACCAAATGTCATAATCTAAAGTTTCTCTACTACGCAACCATTCTATTAGTTTATGGTCGGGACTTTTTATATATGTTTGGTTATTGCTCGCTTAATTTCGTTTAAAACTAAAAATATTAAAAAAAACTAAAAATATTAAGAATATAAAAACAAGAATATTTAAAATAAAAGTTGTAACAAGAGGTTCGTAAATAATGATATTTTTATAAATTGTGTTCTATTATTTCTTTTGTAATGGTAAAGGTGACTTTTGACTGATTGTGTAAGTAATCATTTTGAGATAAAAAAATGAGATTACCTTTCACTAAGAAAGTGTGGTCACTGGAGCCCTAGAGGCCGAGATTACATAAGCAAAATTTTTATGATTTTTGACCACCTCCTCTCCGTCGTCACTAAATGTAAGAAAACATCTTATCCCCCTCCTCCCACGTTTACGTAAACATTTATATCAGCATTTGTTTAAACGGTCTCTGGTGGTTTTATTGGTGCATATCTAGAAATAAGGAATTTATGGTATAGAGAAATTAACGGACAGTGGTTCGATAGTAGGTTGACTGGAACAGAATGCCATGGGCATTAAATTTTTGGGAATGCCTGAATATGTGTTTTGCTTTCGAGCATATTATCCATTTATAAATACACTAGCTGACCCGCGCAACTTCGTCTGCGTCTCTCAATAGTAATAAATTTTCTCCGTTTTTGAAACATTCTTCATTGGTGATGGTCTTAGCGTGATGATATATAGCCTATAGCCTTCCTTGATAAATGGGCTACCTAACACTGAAAGAATTTTT